CAAGGCGCTGCAGTTCAGCGTGGCGCGCGGCGTGCGCGAGGGCGCGCTGGCGGCCGACGTGGCGCTGCACGTGGCCAGCGTGCGCTACACGCACTGCGGCGCGCTGCTGCGCGAGCTGCGCTCGTGCCTCACGGAGTTCAAGCAGTACCTCGCCAACCTGGCGCGCTCCATCCGCGCCGCCGCCGCCGACATGGCCATCGGCCTCGTGCACCCCAGGTACCACCCCCTACGGTTCATACGACGTTCTCGACTGGATCGGCTACAAATATGTTTGTTAGCTCGGTATTATCTCGTTTTTCATGCAATTTTATTAAAAGAACCTAATTGTTCCTTTTAGGAAAAAGATTTTATACTTTAACTACTTGATTATTTTATCGTCATTGTCTGGCATTCCCCAAGAGTCCCACCCGAGGCCATCGTTATTTATTCTGTATAGGAATGTTATTAGAAATATCCTTAAGAAATATAATTTTCTCTTATACGCAGATAACGCCAAATTCTTTAGGACTATTTCCGTAGAGGACTGCGAATTAGTTATTGCTCTATGAATTTACTTTACTTAAACTGAAATAAGTGCTCCATCATCACATACACTCGTAACCGCACACCTGTAGACTATAACTACCATAGTAACGGTGAATTTAGTTTACCTTAGTCGAGTTTACTCGGTCGTGATTTGGGTGTCTTGATGGACTCACAACTCCCATTTAACTTGCATATCGATCATGAGATCAAGAAGTCGTACAGGCAGCTTGGTTTCATTACAAGAATTTCAAAGCCATTTAAACGAGCTAATACTTTAAAGTTACTTTAGTTTTGTACGTTCTCTATTAGATTTTGCATGTATCATCTGGAGCCCCTATTATGTATGCAGTGGCGGCTGTACCTTAAGTACGCTCGTGCGCTGAACCACCAATTCAAAAGATTTAAAAATTACAAAATATTAAGTATGTAGCGACGACAATGCACCGCATAGGTTTTGCAACGTTGCATTTATGCAACGTAGGGCAGTCACGGGTTATTATATAGAGTGGAACTTTGTCGTATCTTTTAATTACAACCCGAACCCGTGTCTCAACAAATACTTACCATTTCATTTTTATTTTGAAATTACCATTTTAATATTTATTTTTAAACGTACAAAAAAATGAATACTTCAGAAAAATGTCGTCGATTTGATTTATCAAATCAAATCAAATCAAATCATTTATTCATTTGCGAACATGGGTACAAAAAAAGGTCTTATACAAAATAGTGTCCATTAACCATATTCTACCTTAAAGGCATGCAAATTTAAAAGAAAGATACAATAACACATATTAGGCACCAATAAACTAGTATTTTACAAATGAGGTAACATTATATAAGCTTATCCTGTAAATATTCTGTGACAGAGTAATATGCTTTTTTCAGTAACAGTGTTTTAACATTGTTTTTAAATATATTTTCATCACTTATGCCCAGAAATTAATTTGGTAAATGATTATATATGCGTGGAGCCATACATAATATACTTTTATTTAATAATGTTGTTTTGTTGCTTGGTAGACATACATTGAATTTGTGTCTTTTACTATGTAACTTATTAAAATAGTGTGTATTCCTTCTAACAAACATTATAACTTCGAATATATATATGCAAGGTAAAGTAAGAATATTTAATTTCAAAAACAATGGTCTACAGCTGTCAGTTATTTTTATACTAGTTATGGCTCGGATACACCTCTTCTGGGCTTTAAACACAGCTTCTTTATTGGTAGTATTGCCCCAAAAAATAACACAATACTTCAAAATAGGTACAACATAGCCATTGTAGGCTGTAAGGACTGTAGAAATATTAACAATTTGTTTAATTTTGAACAATGCATAAGAAAAGGCATTCAATTTAGTGCACGGTAGATGGATATGTTCCTTAAAATTTATATTGTTGTCTATGTATATACCCAGAAATCTCGTAACGTCAACTTCTTGGATCTTGGTGTCGCGATAATTTATATTCATGTTTGCTATTTTACTAACTCTATTTCTGAATGTCATGAAATTTGTTTTGTTGAGATTTATGTGTAGATTGTTTAATGTTAGCCAATTTATGATGTTTTCTAAAGTCATGTTTATCTCAAGTTCCATGCGTGATTTACTATCTCCTGTGAACACTATAGTACTGTCATCAGCAAACAAAATCGCGTTGTATTTAGTGGCCTTTGGGAAATCATTAATGTATATTATAAAAAGAAGCGGGCCCAGTACACTTCCTTGTGGAACTCCAGATATTACTTTTCTACATGAGGATGAATAATTTATAATTTTTTTGGCATAGGGACATATCCTTGTTATTTGCGTTACTTGTGATCTATTACCTAAGTATGATTTAATCAAGTTATGTATATTTCCTCTGACACCGTAAGCGTACAATTTATTAAGGAGTATTTTGTGGTCCACATAATCAAATGCCTTTGTGAGGTCCATAAACAATGCACACGTTTGTCCGCCTTTATCCATGTCAGTTAATATGTTTTGTAGAAAATTATATACTGCTATATTAATCGATTTATTTTTACGAAAACCAATTTGTTCGGTACAAAATAAGTTATTTTTCTCAAAATAATTGTAAATACTATCATGGATCACTTTCTCAAATATCTTTGATATGACTGGTACTACAAGAGCTATGGGGCGGTAGCAGTTCATCTCATTTTTATTGCCTTTTTTAACTCGTCGAGTACCGTCATTATAGACACAATTATAGAACAATAGGTTGCGGTCACCGGTGACCACTTGGTGTTTGACAGTTTAAATAAAGGTTTAATTACAGTTAATTTCAGTTTTTCTGGGAAGACTCCATTTGTTATACTTAAATTTATTATATGACTAAGAATATACGATAACTTAGTAGATACGTGTTTTAATATTTTTGTTGATATATCATCATATCCAGTACTATTTGTGTTCTTGAGGCCTTTAATTATTCTGTATATATCTGCTGGTATAGTTGGATTCATAAATATAGAATTTGGTTCGAATGGGATTTCGCGCGTTATTCGAGATCTTGGATTATTTGGTGCGGAAATTTTAATTTTGTCAATGAAGAAATTGTTGAAATAGTTAGCAATCTGTTTAGGTTCAGTTATTATATTACCATCAACAGTTATCTGTTGCATTTGATCTTTAGGGACATTAAATTTATTTGTATTTATTATCTTCCAAGTAGCTTGTGACTTATTTCGAGAAGTATTTATGTAATTATCATTACGACACTTTTGCGTTAATTTTATGATCTGATTTAATTTTGAAGACAAAGATAAGAATGATTTTTTATTAGTATCTGTAGGATTTTTTCTGTATTCCCACAAAAGTTGTCGTTTACGCTTACAGCATACTCTGAGACCTTTTGTGATCCATCGAGGACGAGATCTTGTTGATATTCTTATCTGTATAGTTGGGAAGCAAAGATTATAGAATAGGTGAAATATTTCATAGAAGTCATTGAATGCTAGGTTTGGATCTGTGTTCAAAAAGACGTCATTGAAATGTAGAGAATTTATGCATTGTTTGAATTTACAAATGTTTTCTTTATTTATAATGTCAATTTTTGTTTTGTTGCATTTTCTAATTTTAATATTGTAGTAAAGTGCACCACCAGTTCAATAATCCACCAGCCGCCACTGTATGCATGTCATTGGTTAATTGATTAGATGCCTAGATTACCGCTGATGTCACCGTCATGTATCTATCTTATGTGACTGACAAGACTCACCCCCACCATTAGATAGAATATATTTAAGAGTGCCCCGCCATGGTTTCCGCTTGCGAACATTATTTTGAGTACCCTCTTATAGAACAATATACCTACACAAGTAACAACTTTTTCAAGCGCAGTGTTAGCACTTACAAGGATGAATTAAATAAATAAATAAATAATAAATAAATAAAATTTATTTTCAAACATAATGATCTAGAAATGTACAGTTTTGCTTAAAGTTAAATAAAGTTCACAATATAAGGTGCCTGAACTAGGAAATCCTGTGTTTCAGGCGAGGTTAGGTAATAGTAGTAAACAATGTTATATAATCACTAATACTTAAATGCTAATAAGTTAGGGTAAATTATGACAATATTTAATTATATGTATGCATACTGATGTAAAGTAATACTTAAATTCTATGCTTAATATGTATTTAAGAGTATGTATGTAGTATATAAATAAGAATTTTGAATTAATCAAGAATTAATCAAGAAATTGAATGAACTAGATATATTTAACACCAGTTCCAATGTGTAGAAATCTAAAATTAAGCAGAAACATACTCAGCGCTAGGAAGGGAATCATATCACGGCCACTGTGTAAGTAAATGTATGTATTTATATAAAACCAAATTTTCAAGTAAAAAGTATCCATTATTTTTTTTAAACAGAGAACCGCTAAATAAAATGCTTTTTTATATTATATTGTTATATGGAACTCCGTGTCTGTATGTATCAAATTGTATAGTAATCATTTATTTGTAAGAGACTGTTTGTTTCCTGGATAAATATTAAAAGAACATGTAAGAAGCCTGTCGTTGTGGTGCAGGGGTGAGTCTTTGTACGCGAACCCGAAGCTGTCGCAGTCGATGGAGGGCGTGTCCCCGCGGCGGCGCACCGTCAGCCTCGGCGCCTCGCTGGACGAGCCCGCCGCGCTCAACTCTGACATCGTGCTCAGGTACGCCCCTGCCGGCCTGGCGCCAGTGCCAGCACCGGCGCAGGTCTCATGCGGCGCTCGTGTTGCAGCGTGAGCATCGAGCTGGAGTCGCCGGTGGTGGTGGTGCCCCGGCACGCGCACAGCACGCAGGTGTTCGTGGCGCACCTGGGCCGCATGAGCCTGCGCAACCGGCCGGGCGCGCCGCGCCGCACGCTGTACAAGGTGCGCGTGCGCGACATCTCGCTGGCGTCCGTGGACGTGGGCCAGCTGCCCGCGGCCGGGCTGCCCGCGGCGTACGACGCGGCGTACGACGCGGCCGCCGGCAAGCCCGTGCTGCATAACACGGCGCTGCGCCTCACCATCAACTACTGCGACGCCGACGCCGGCTGCGACGCTGACTACCAGGTATTACTTCTATTACACGGACAAATGTTTATCCGGTGGTTTAATACTGTGCATTGTAGTCGCTTGTATGATGTTACTTGTAAGTTAAACGACTAGGTATGCCAGTTCTCAAGTGCCAGCTGTCAACATTACATTAGTACTTGTAACAACGCTAATCAAAAACCAAGAAGATTGTCTATGAAACATGAAATAAAGTTATTTTGTTGCAACATAAGGTATGGTAAAGTACCGTCTACATATTCACAATGAAGAACATTGCAGTGCGAAGTCCGCGGCAAGATAGTGGGCGGGCTGCACGTGTCGGCGCGGCGCGAGCAGTACGAGCAGCTGCTGGAGACGCTGCGCTGGGTCAGCTCCGAGGGGCCCGAAATGAATAAATTCTTGTCACCACTGCAATTTGGTTTTAGAGCAAAGTTGTCAGCAGCTGATGCAGTACATACACTCACAGATTTCATATCAGAAGAACTCGGCAAAGGCAACCACGTTCTAGGAATTTTTATTGATCTTGCCAAAGCTTTTGATACTGTGTCTATTCCACTGCTTCTAAAGAAGATGGAATGTATGGGTATCAGAGGCACACAACTGAACCTCTTTGCTGATTATCTAGATGACCGTTACCAGTGTGTTAGAATAGATGACGTCACAAGCCCATTCCAGAAAAATACTGGTTTTGGAGTGCCTCAAGGGAGTATTCTTGGTCCTACCCTATTTTTGATCTATATCAACGATTTATGTAACATTGAGATGCATCATGGGAAACTAATATCATACGCTGACGACACGGCCCTAATTTTTTCATCCAATAACGACAATGAACTGTACTGTAATGCTCAATTGGCTTTTAATTCAGTTAATAGTTGGCTTTGCTCTAATATACTAACACTAAATGCGGAGAAGACAAAATTTATTCACTTTTCTATGCGCAAGAGTCCAATTACCTCTGTTACACCCCAATTATACGCACATAAATGTAGAATTAGTCCAGTGGACACATGCAACTGCCCTTGTATATTAAAAACTACTTCCATCAGATATCTAGGCATCACAATTGATGAAACTCTTTGTTTCAAACAACACATCAGCGCTTTGGTTGCACGTGTCAGGAAATTGATGCACATTTTTAAAAAAATTAGACAAATCGGAGATGTTAAACTAATCACTCAAATCTACCTAGCGTTATGTCAGTCAATTATCCAGTACTGTGTTACTTCTTGGGGTGGCGCATCAAAAACTAATATACTCCCTCTAGAACGTGCTCAGAGAGCCATCCTAAAAGTTGCATTTTCCCATCCCTTTCTCTTTCCTACATCGATGCTATATAGATCCTGCAAAGTTTTAACTGTTCGCCAAATCTATGTAGTACAGCTAATACTCAAACAACATTCACTACTCAGCTTCAATGTTAATAATCTTACTAACAAAAGGCGGAATGATATGGTTTGCACTTCAACCTCAGTGTCAAAACACGCTTTTATAAAAAGATTCTTTATCTTTCTTGGCCCATTTTTATACAATAGAATAAATAGAGAATTAAGTATTTATAGCCTCAATCACTTTCACTGTAAAAAACTATTACATAATTATGTACACACCTTAACATACGATCAAACCGAGGAATTACTTGAAGTAAGCAAATAATTTTATTATAGTTGACTTAGTTATTTTTGCTTACGTTTGTTTATGAAACTGTACACGCGCACCTGTTATACTTAGAGACTAGCTTAATTTAATTTAGACATAACATTTTTAGTTTTATAAGCAATATTATTGTATATTAAATATTTCAGTACATTTTTAACCTGAAACACAGGCTTGGACCTAGTTCAGGTTTCACATATTTTTAGACTTTGTTTAGATATTAAGATTTATTTTGTAATCTGGCTTTTTACACCAAATAAACATTTTATTTATTATTATATATTATTATTACTTACTTTTGTTGCCATAAAAAGATTTACATTTTAATAAAACTGAATGTGTAGGTGTCGTTGCACTCGATAACAATGGAAGATCTGACCAAAGAGCCGGACTCGAAGCACCGCATGTTGATGGTGTCGCACACGCCACAAATGCCCCCGAAGGCCGTGTTCGTGTCCAAGTCGTGCCCGGACTTCGTGACGGAGTACGCGGACGACATGTCCAGCGTCAGCTCCCTGCAGTACATGAAGTGGTGCTCCTGTTCTCTGCCCAGCCAGCTCAACGTGCTCACTAGAGAGGTAATGTTGTCCGTGCTGTTGTGTCCAACTGCTAATGGTACAGGTAACGTGCTTGTGAATGCGAACTAATTCACGATGGTAATGTTTTGTGACGGTAGAGCAAGGAGCGCCGTAACAAGCGTGAGAGTAAGTGCGCGCCCACGCCACCGTGCTCCCCCGAGTGCGGCGCGCCCCCGCCCGCGCCCGCGGCCTCGCGTCCTACTGCTGACCCCGCGGACCATTCCGACCCCGCAGACCCCATCGATGCAGCCGACCCCGCGGAGTCCACCGACCCCTCAGACAACCTCGTGTGGCTGTCTGTACACACGCGCGACCCGCACCATCCACAGTTTGCCGATAAATACGACAAGGTGCGTCCGTACATTACACGTAGTTAACAGGGATAGTATATAAAAGTATTCATGTATTTTAATGGATTTTGATTGTCGTATCCCTTCATTTCTGTTGTTTGATGTCATAATTTTATTAATGTTATGTTTGATGTTACTAGATATCAAAACTAACTAAAGTGGACTTTAACTGCCTCAACTTGGTGGTAAGTATCGACAGCTGGGTGGCGGTGCTGGACTTCTTCGGCATCGCCGGCGACGACGTGACGGACGGCGAGCACGGGCCCGAGCCACAGAGCACCGGTACGTATGGGGCACGGCGGCGCGGGCCGGCGGCGGCGGCGCGGTGACGTTAGTGCTGGTGCTGCAGAGGCGGAGGCGGGCGGCGCGGGCGGCGCGTGCTCGCAGACGGAGCTGTGGGTGCGGTCGCTGAGCGTGGTGCTGGTGGCGGGGCGCGGCGAGGCGTGCCGCGCGCTGGTGTCGCGCGCGCGCGCCGTGTGCCGCGCCGACGCGCGCGTGCACACGCGCCGCCTCACGGGCCGCCTGGGCGCGCTGGCGCTCACGGACCTCACGCCGCACTCCGCGCTCTGGCGGGACCGCTTCCGCACGGACTCTGACCACGCCCTCACCTTCCAATACCAACGGTAACTGCAACACCTGCTTATATTCCCTGTCTTCGTATACGATACCATGTATATCAATGTATTCTGTGGCCTCTACAGACTGAGCTCTGCCGAGGCAGCCGCCGCGGGCTACGAGACCAGTCTGAGCATAGAGATGGGTCCCGTGACGTACGTGCACACTAAGCGCTTCGTACAAGAGCTGCAGGCCTTCGCACGGGACTTCAGTCTGCTACGGAAAGTCATAATGCAAGCTAGACTCAAAGTCAGTTATTATTGTTATTACTTTTAAATTACCTTCGAAACAGGACAAAGTTCTTGCATTTGATCCATTTAACATGATGATTTCTAATAGTGTATACAACAATTCAAGTATTTACGTCTACTTATCATAAAAACTCCACGACTAATTTTTAATTGTAGGTTTCAGTAGTATCTGGCGGATCTAGCACAGACGGTGCCCGTCCAGCTCGCATGAAGCTGAACGTGCGCTGCACGGCACCTGTCATAGTGCTGCCGGTGTCGGGGCGCGCGCGCAACGCTCTGGCGGCGCACCTGGACCAGCTCACGCTGGACAACTGCTTCAAGTACGCGGGCGACGACGGCACGCTGAGCGCGCCGGGCGAGGGCCGGCGCGCGCTGCTGGACGTGCGCAGCGTGCGCCTGGCGGGCGTGGCGCTGTGGTGCGCGCGCGGCGGGCGCGGCCTGCGCGTGCGCCGCCGGGGCGCGCCGCTGCTGCACGCGCCCGCCGACCTGCGCCTGCACGTGGAGTACAACATGGACGCCGCGCACTCGGGTACGCCGAGCTCTGAGTCTAGGGTCCGCTTATGTCCGCCGTGTACTAACGCCCGCCCCGCAGTGGCGGACATGTCGGTGCAGGGCTCGCTGAGCACGCTGCAGCTGGCGCTGGACCCGGCGCAGTACCGCCTGGTGCGCGGCGTGCTGGCCCACAACCTGGCGGAGTGCGTGGACGACCTGCTGCCGCGGGACCTGCCGCACCACCAGCCCCAGCCGCAGCACCACGACGTGAGACTCATACATACATCCTACTGACCAATACGCTGCCCTCCGAGTACGACTTTTGTTGGTACCTAATGCCTTCTGTACTGTCTAGGTGTGGACCACCAGCTCTTTGAAATTGGACTTACACGACGTGACGGTGAAGCTGGAGCCGGAGCACGGGGTGTCTTCCCTGGCTTGTATCAACTTCATCAAGTCCAGACTTGTCGTGGAAACATACTCAGACCTCAGCCAAGACATAGACCTTGTTTCACAGGTTCATTTCAAACTTTAAGTATTAAACTTGTAGTAAATTGACGATTGTGACATGATGGGTATACTGTGTGCAGGAGATCCTAGTGAGCGACACTCGGTTCGCGAAGGAGCCAGCCAACCGGCGCGGCAACGTGTTCAGCCACATCGTGCAGCCCATGGCGGAGCAGAGGCACAGCGTGCAGGCCGAGGTGCACGCCAGGTGCAGTACTACACTCCCCCTCCCCCTGCCCCCATGTCCCCGCTACCTCGGCTGCTGAGTCTCACGGACGTGTCGTGTCCCTCGTCCCCAGGAAGCGGCGTGACTCCTCCGCCTATACGATCCTGGTGAACAACATGCGCCTGATGGCAGTGCTGGACTGGTGGGAGTGCGCCAACCAATTCATCATGCAGCCTCCGCCACCGCCCGCCGACCCTGACCAGGCTCATCTGTTAGTACTCACATTATTTGTTATACAATATTTTTAATTGAAAAGCCTATGGTTATAGAAGGTTTATTTATGAATGATTCTGTTTGATGACAGTGAGGAAGCGCTCTGTGCAATTCGTAATGCTGCCAGTCCACATCCTGCGCAGGCGCAGGAAGAACCACTCATGGAACTGAAGCTTAATGTGACGGACTCTCAACTGGTGCTGGTGGAAGACCCGTCCGTCTGGGACACTAACGCGGTCATACTTAGGGTAAGTACATAGGCGACATAAGAAGCACGGAGAATGTGGAAGGTGGACGGAGGAGTACCAGGAATAGAGGCACCAAGAGAGTTGCTAGAGTCCAGTGTTTGTTGCAGAGTACGACAGTGATCACGTACCGGTGCGCGGACGCGCAGAAGCCGGTGTCGTGCGAGCTGAACGAGCTGGAGGTGTTCTCGTGCGTGCTGGGGCTGGAGGAGGAGACCGCGCTGTCCATCGTCGACCCCGCCGCCGTGCACGTCGCCATCGACGCTCAGCGCGTGCTACACGTAAGCCCAGCCCGCTGCACTGCCTGGAGCCGTCCCCGTCACTCCCGGCACTCCCGTCTCCGAGTACTGACGCGTGTCATGTTCCAGGTGGCAATGAGCACACTGAACCTGCGGCTGTCGTACCACGACATGCGGATGTTCGCGGCCATGCTGCAGTCTCTGCCGGTGCAGGCGCGGGCTGCGCTGTCTGGTGAGTGCCGACTACAGATATAATAAAGAAGGAGATATGGTGTGGAGTCAAAAATGTATGCAAAACCGGTGAAACCACAACTGCCCCTCCATAGAACTAATATTACACACACAGCTCTGACAAAACAATACTACGAATAAGTGCACACATACGGCATCGATAACTCAGTAATTCAAATATAAGCCTTATTCTTTAAACGCGCTCAAGCCGTATCGCTGCTGTCGTCGAGACGGCGATCATGGATTGTCGTGGACATATAAAAACTCCTGGGCGCGCGCTTAGAGATCGATAAGCACGCACCGCGCGTGGATGGTTTATGCTGCTCGTAGGTGTCTGGTACACGGCTCCCCCCCAGCAAAGCGTACTGGCGGTTTCGAACGTCTTCCAGTCCTTGTGGTGTAGGCGGCGTCACGATTTGCGTCGGCTTCAGGTTCGGAGTCTAGCAGGAATGCGGGTTTTAGTCGGTCGATGGAGACATTTTCCATCGACTTGTATGGTGAACGTCTTATCATTCCGCTGTAGTACTCGGTGCGGACCTTTGTATGTGGGCGTGAGTGGTTTGCGAACTGCATCGGTACGCATTAACACATGGGAACACGTCCGTAGTAGGCGAGGTATGTACGTTGTTCGTCGATCGGTGTTAATGTGTGCAGCGGTTAGTTTAGCGTAATGAGATTGTGTTTGTTTTGTTATCTTCACACCTAACATTTCATCGGGTAATCTGAGTGACTGGCCATACAGTGCTTGCTGCGGAGACATCTGTGTTGTTTTTTATGGTTGCACGTAATCCCAGCATGACTGTCGGTAGCTCGTCCAGCTTGAATTTTGAAGTGGGGCAGTACGGGCGACTGTTTCAGCTGTTATGTCAGCGACAGGGTAGGCTTCAGGCCATGTCGTTGTTCTGTTGAGACCGTTTTCCATCTGATACAGGCAGGGGTCCAACTGTAGTGTAGTGATCTAAGAATGTATTAGTCGTAATCTAGACTTCATCTATTAAACACGTGTATCCTAATTAATTATTGTTTCCTTTACACCCGACACCTCACAACGATGTCGATGTGGAAGTGAGACAAACGGTGAGTAGCGGGAAAGGCTTCGAGAGGTGACACGGTATGTCGTTGCGTTTTTGTTTGTTGACATGCAATGCAACTTCGTGTCCAGTTGTTTATATGATCAGCGTTCCTGTTCGGCCAAAAAAATCGCTTCGTTATCAAATGTCGTGTGGCGCGAATACCGGAATAACTCAATTCGTGGATTGCAGTAAATACTGTGCGTCGTATTTGTAGCGGTATATATGGTCGTGCGCTGTTTGTTGACATCTCGCATAATATTTCGTGATTTGAGTGGATCGATTTTATGCGTTCAAATCTTAAGTTTTTGTTATGTATCACTTCTTTGATTTCGGTGTCAACTTGTTGTTGTCTTGCCAGCTCGTCATAGTCGATCGGTGACGGTGAAGTAATTGTGTCGATTCTTGATAGGGCGTCGGCAACGACGTTGTCTTTTCCCTCGATGTGTAGAAAATGGAGGATGATACGATCAAACCGAGGAATTACTTGAAGTAAGCAAATAATTTTATTATAGTTGACTTAGTTATTTTTGCTTACGTTTGTTTATGAAACTGTACACGCGCACCTGTTATACTTAGAGACTAGCTTAATTTAATTTAGACATAACATTTTTAGTTTTATAAGCAATATTATTGTATATTAAATATTTCAGTACATTTTTAACCTGAAACACAGGCTTGGACCTAGTTCAGGTTTCACATATTTTTAGACTTTGTTTAGATATTAAGATTTATTTTGTAATCTGGCTTTTTACACCAAATAAACATTTTATTTATTATTATATATTATTATTACTTACTTTTGTTGCCATAAAAAGATTTACATTTTAATAAAACTGAATGTGTAGGTGTCGTTGCACTCGATAACAATGGAAGATCTGACCAAAGAGCCGGACTCGAAGCACCGCATGTTGATGGTGTCGCACACGCCACAAATGCCCCCGAAGGCCGTGTTCGTGTCCAAGTCGTGCCCGGACTTCGTGACGGAGTACGCGGACGACATGTCCAGCGTCAGCTCCCTGCAGTACATGAAGTGGTGCTCCTGTTCTCTGCCCAGCCAGCTCAACGTGCTCACTAGAGAGGTAATGTTGTCCGTGCTGTTGTGTCCAACTGCTAATGGTACAGGTAACGTGCTTGTGAATGCGAACTAATTCACGATGGTAATGTTTTGTGACGGTAGAGCAAGGAGCGCCGTAACAAGCGTGAGAGTAAGTGCGCGCCCACGCCACCGTGCTCCCCCGAGTGCGGCGCGCCCCCGCCCGCGCCCGCGGCCTCGCGTCCTACTGCTGACCCCGCGGACCATTCCGACCCCGCAGACCCCATCGATGCAGCCGACCCCGCGGAGTCCACCGACCCCTCAGACAACCTCGTGTGGCTGTCTGTACACACGCGCGACCCGCACCATCCACAGTTTGCCGATAAATACGACAAGGTGCGTCCGTACATTACACGTAGTTAACAGGGATAGTATATAAAAGTATTCATGTATTTTAATGGATTTTGATTGTCGTATCCCTTCATTTCTGTTGTTTGATGTCATAATTTTATTAATGTTATGTTTGATGTTACTAGATATCAAAACTAACTAAAGTGGACTTTAACTGCCTCAACTTGGTGGTAAGTATCGACAGCTGGGTGGCGGTGCTGGACTTCTTCGGCATCGCCGGCGACGACGTGACGGACGGCGAGCACGGGCCCGAGCCACAGAGCACCGGTACGTATGGGGCACGGCGGCGCGGGCCGGCGGCGGCGGCGCGGTGACGTTAGTGCTGGTGCTGCAGAGGCGGAGGCGGGCGGCGCGGGCGGCGCGTGCTCGCAGACGGAGCTGTGGGTGCGGTCGCTGAGCGTGGTGCTGGTGGCGGGGCGCGGCGAGGCGTGCCGCGCGCTGGTGTCGCGCGCGCGCGCCGTGTGCCGCGCCGACGCGCGCGTGCACACGCGCCGCCTCACGGGCCGCCTGGGCGCGCTGGCGCTCACGGACCTCACGCCGCACTCCGCGCTCTGGCGGGACCGCTTCCGCACGGACTCTGACCACGCCCTCACCTTCCAATACCAACGGTAACTGCAACACCTGCTTATATTCCCTGTCTTCGTATACGATACCATGTATATCAATGTATTCTGTGGCCTCTACAGACTGAGCTCTGCCGAGGCAGCCGCCGCGGGCTACGAGACCAGTCTGAGCATAGAGATGGGTCCCGTGACGTACGTGCACACTAAGCGCTTCGTACAAGAGCTGCAGGCCTTCGCACGGGACTTCAGTCTGCTACGGAAAGTCATAATGCAAGCTAGACTCAAAGTCAGTTATTATTGTTATTACTTTTAAATTACCTTCGAAACAGGACAAAGTTCTTGCATTTGATCCATTTAACATGATGATTTCTAATAGTGTATACAACAATTCAAGTATTTACGTCTACTTATCATAAAAACTCCACGACTAATTTTTAATTGTAGGTTTCAGTAGTATCTGGCGGATCTAGCACAGACGGTGCCCGTCCAGCTCGCATGAAGCTGAACGTGCGCTGCACGGCACCTGTCATAGTGCTGCCGGTGTCGGGGCGCGCGCGCAACGCTCTGGCGGCGCACCTGGACCAGCTCACGCTGGACAACTGCTTCAAGTACGCGGGCGACGACGGCACGCTGAGCGCGCCGGGCGAGGGCCGGCGCGCGCTGCTGGACGTGCGCAGCGTGCGCCTGGCGGGCGTGGCGCTGTGGTGCGCGCGCGGCGGGCGCGGCCTGCGCGTGCGCCGCCGGGGCGCGCCGCTGCTGCACGCGCCCGCCGACCTGCGCCTGCACGTGGAGTACAACATGGACGCCGCGCACTCGGGTACGCCGAGCTCTGAGTCTAGGGTCCGCTTATGTCCGCCGTGTACTAACGCCCGCCCCGCAGTGGCGGACATGTCGGTGCAGGGCTCGCTGAGCACGCTGCAGCTGGCGCTGGACCCGGCGCAGTACCGCCTGGTGCGCGGCGTGCTGGCCCACAACCTGGCGGAGTGCGTGGACGACCTGCTGCCGCGGGACCTGCCGCACCACCAGCCCCAGCCGCAGCACCACGACGTGAGACTCATACATACATCCTACTGACCAATACGCTGCCCTCCGAGTACGACTTTTGTTGGTACCTAATGCCTTCTGTACTGTCTAGGTGTGGACCACCAGCTCTTTGAAATTGGACTTACACGACGTGACGGTGAAGCTGGAGCCGGAGCACGGGGTGTCTTCCCTGGCTTGTATCAACTTCATCAAGTCCAGACTTGTCGTGGAAACATACTCAGACCTCAGCCAAGACATAGACCTTGTTTCACAGGTTCATTTCAAACTTTAAGTATTAAACTTGTAGTAAATTGACGATTGTGACATGATGGGTATACTGTGTGCAGGAGATCCTAGTGAGCGACACTCGGTTCGCGAAGGAGCCAGCCAACCGGCGCGGCAACGTGTTCAGCCACATCGTGCAGCCCATGGCGGAGCAGAGGCACAGCGTGCAGGCCGAGGTGCACGCCAGGTGCAGTACTACACTCCCCCTCCCCCTGCCCCCATGTCCCCGCTACCTCGGCTGCTGAGTCTCACGGACGTGTCGTGTCCCTCGTCCCCAGGAAGCGGCGTGACTCCTCCGCCTATACGATCCTGGTGAACAACATGCGCCTGATGGCAGTGCTGGACTGGTGGGAGTGCGCCAACCAATTCATCATGCAGCCTCCGCCACCGCCCGCCGACCCTGACCAGGCTCATCTGTTAGTACTCACATTATTTGTTATACAATATTTTTAATTGAAAAGCCTATGGTTATAGAAGGTTTATTTATGAATGATTCTGTTTGATGACAGTGAGGAAGCGCTCTGTGCAATTCGTAATGCTGCCAGTCCACATCCTGCGCAGGCGCAGGAAGAACCACTCATGGAACTGAAGCTTAATGTGACGGACTCTCAACTGGTGCTGGTGGAAGACCCGTCCGTCTGGGACACTAACGCGGTCATACTTAGGGTAAGTACATAGGCGACATAAGAAGCACGGAGAATGTGGAAGGTGGACGGAGGAGTACCAGGAATAGAGGCACCAAGAGAGTTGCTAGAGTCCAGTGTTTGTTGCAGAGTACGACAGTGATCACGTACCGGTGCGCGGACGCGCAGAAGCCGGTGTCGTGCGAGCTGAACGAGCTGGAGGTGTTCTCGTGCGTGCTGGGGCTGGAGGAGGAGACCGCGCTGTCCATCGTCGACCCCGCCGCCGTGCACGTCGCCATCGACGCTCAGCGCGTGCTACACGTAAGCCCAGCCCGCTGCACTGCCTGGAGCCGTCCCCGTCACTCCCGGCACTCCCGTCTCCGAGTACTGACGCGTGTCATGTTCCAGGTGGCAATGAGCACACTGAACCTGCGGCTGTCGTACCACGACATGCGGATGTTCGCGGCCATGCTGCAGTCTCTGCCGGTGCAGGCGCGGGCTGCGCTGTCTGGTGAGTGCCGACTACAGATATAATAAAGAAGGAGATATGGTGTGGAGTCAAAAATGTATGCAAAACCGGTGAAACCACAACTGCCCCTCCATAGAACTAATATTACACACACAGCTCTGACAAAACAATACTACGAATAAGTGCACACATACGGCATCGATAACTCAGTAATTCAAATATAAGCCTTATTCTTTAAACGCGCTCAAGCCGTATCGCTGCTGTCGTCGAGACGGCGATCATGGATTGTCGTGGACATATAAAAACTCCTGGGCGCGCGCTTAGAGATCGATAAGCACGCACCGCGCGTGGATGGTTTATGCTGCTCGTAGGTGTCTGGTACACGGCTCCCCCCCAGCAAAGCGTACTGGCGGTTTCGAACGTCTTCCAGTCCTTGTGGTGTAGGCGGCGTCACGATTTGCGTCGGCTTCAGGTTCGGAGTCTAGCAGGAATGCGGGTTTTAGTCGGTCGATGGAGACATTTTCCATCGACTTGTATGGTGAACGTCTTATCATTCCGCTGTAGTACTCGGTGCGGACCTTTGTATGTGGGCGTGAGTGGTTTGCGAACTGCATCGGTACGCATTAACACATGGGAACACGTCCGTAGTAGGCGAGGTATGTACGTTGTTCGTCGATCGGTGTTAATGTGTGCAGCGGTTAGTTTAGCGTAATGAGATTGTGTTTGTTTTGTTATCTTCACACCTAACATTTCATCGGGTAATCTGAGTGACTGGCCATACAGTGCTTGCTGCGGAGACATCTGTGTTGTTTTTTATGGTTGCACGTAATCCCAGCATGACTGTCGGTAGCTCGTCCAGCTTGAATTTTGAAGTGGGGCAGTACGGGCGACTGTTTCAGCTGTTATGTCAGCGACAGGGTAGGCTTCAGGCCATGTCGTTGTTCTGTTGAGACCGTTTTCCATCTGATACAGGCAGGGGTCCAACTGTAGTGTAGTGATCTAAGAATGTATTAGTCGTAATCTAGACTTCATCTATTAAACACGTGTATCCTAATTAATTATTGTTTCCTTTACACCCGACACCTCACAACGATGTCGATGTGGAAGTGAGACAAACGGTGAGTAGCGGGAAAGGCTTCGAGAGGTGACACGGTATGTCGTTGCGTTTTTGTTTGTTGACATGCAATGCAACTTCGTGTCCAGTTGTTTATATGATCAGCGTTCCTGTTCGGCCAAAAAAATCGCTTCGTTATCAAATGTCGTGTGGCGCGAATACCGGAATAACTCAATTCGTGGATTGCAGTAAATACTGTGCGTCGTATTTGTAGCGGTATATATGGTCGTGCGCTGTTTGTTGACATCTCGCATAATATTTCGTGATTTGAGTGGATCGATTTTATGCGTTCAAATCTTAAGTTTTTGTTATGTATCACTTCTTTGATTTCGGTGTCAACTTGTTGTTGTCTTGCCAGCTCGTCATAGTCGATCGGTGACGGTGAAGTAATTGTGTCGATTCTTGATAGGGCGTCGGCAACGACGTTGTCTTTTCCCTCGATGTGTAGAACTTTGACGTGAACTAGCTGATGTAATGTAGATGTAGATATCTATTTCGCATAGGAGTCTTTGTTTTGCTGTTATCTCTCAGGAGTGCAAATGTGAGAGGCTTGTGGTCAGTGAACACGGTGATTTCCTTGCCCTCGAAAATTCTTCGGAAGTGACGTATAGCTAGGTAAATAGCTAGTAGTTCTTGAACATATGTTCGACGCTGAACGACGTTCAGCGTTTTGGAAAAAAATCCAAGTGGTTGCCATCTTCCTTGTATGTAGCGGGTGTGATAGCAGGCGTTTTTTATGCTATTCTTGCATGCTTCGAATGCCTGTTTTTCTTCAGCTGTCAGATGTATTTGAGTTTTGTCGTTCTTTTTCGAGGTGCTTAGGTATTTGAATATTTTTTCTTGAGTGTGTGCTGCGTGCGGAATACTTTTCTTATAAAAGTTAATGATACCCAGGAAGCGCTGTAGTTCTTGTATTGTTTTCGGTTGTGGGTATTTTTGTATACTTTTGACGCGCTCTTCAATTGGTTGAATATCGTCGGCCGATACATCATAGCCAAGGAACTCAAGTTTTTACTTTTCGACAACGCATTTGGAAACGTTTATTCTCAGTCCGTGTGTTTGCAATCTCTTGAACACTTCCTCTAGGTATTGATTATGACTAGCTTGGTCGGGGGCTGCAAGAAGCATATCATCGACAAATGGGTATACGCAACCCAAATCGCCCAGTATATTGTTCATGTGACGTTGGAATGTCTGCCCCGCGTTGCGTAATCCAAAGCACATTCGAGGAAATTCAAATAATCCGAATGGCGTTATCACTGCGGTCTTTTCTACAATGTGTTGTTTTAAAGCCGCGTCATTTTCTAGGAGGTAACTTGGATATCGACTCTGTGTCCGAATCAATATAAAAAATTGTAATTAAATATTTTTCATTTATCTGAAATTACGGAAATCCGTAAGTGCGAAGTACATGCCGCCGTCTTGTAACTAGCTTTATAACGCGGCTTAACACGCACAAATTTAAACACGTAATTGATATTATTCCTAATTCCATAAAACTCTAACTTCCTTGCAGCCTATAGGTGAAATCACGTAGATGGGGAATCGGGTATCGATCGGGCTTCGTCACGGCGTTCAATTTTCTTCAATCACCGCATGGTTTGAGCTCTCCATTTTTCTTTTGGACTAGGTGGAATGGGCTTGCCCATGGGGTTTAACTTGTTGACATATCCCTTGCTCCAGCATTAGGTGGAATGTCTCTCTGGCGGCGTGGTATCTGGTGTCCGTGCGTGACGATGTAGTGTTCCACGTCGCTGTTGGTCGCGTTACTGAAGTGTGCGGACGTGATGTCGATATACTTCTTCAGCAGGTATTTATAATTTCGGCCGGTTGAACGTGATCGGGATCGTGAATGAGCGGAACGACGACGATGTCTGTGCGTCGCTCGCATTGTGCGCTGTACTTTTAACTCGGCTATCTCCTTGGTTAGTTGCATTACGGCGTCTCGTAGATCCAGTTCTCCGTGTATTTTCTGTCCGTGTGCACGTAGCGGTGATGTTTTTGATTGACCCTGACAGGTAACGGAACACACGGTTTGTACTTTATTTTTTATTTATTTACACTTCTTGTATACAATGGCGGACTTGATGCAATGTACTTCTGTGACTTGTTCGTGCATTTTATCAGCCATTGCTGCTAGAACGTCGAGTGATTGCTGTTCGCTTACTGCCAGGACTGCTCGTGTTGAGATCGGTAATCGCTGTACCAACATTTGAAGTGTTGCGTCGGGTACTTACTCGCGCGCAGGTTCTCGCATGCCTCTGAGCAGTCGTGATGGCTTCTGGTCGCCGAGTTCCATATCGTTGAGAAGTTTGTGCAGCTGTCGCGCTCCAGATTTCTAGTCATCATTTAGCCTGTTCGAATCTTCTGACCAACCATTCAAGAAGTAGAAATACTAATAATTTGGAATTGTTGCAATTAAAGCAACCATTATTTTTACTGCAGCTTACGTTTACGTGTATTGTTATATTACAGGCAAACTGTTGGTATCTGAGGAAGACGCCGACGAGCCAGCCAATATCGTGTACATGCGTGCCGCCAGCGGCAGTGCGGGCGAGCGCTCCCCCGGCGCGGGGGGCGCGGGCGGCTGGATGTACCGGCCCCGCTGGCTGCGCGCCCCGCCCCCGCCCGCGCCCCCGCCGCAGCCCAAGCCCACCACCTCTATATGGCCGCTCAAAGCTGTGCAGGTTGCGTACTTGTCTCTTTTATTGCTGTCTATTCGTTCGTATTATTATTATTATTATTCTATCACCTCTCTTTTTATATCGTCGTTATTTTATAAAAAATTATCAATTATTTTTGATAATTCAATTATTCATTTATTATTTTCATTGCTTTTTATGCTATCCTGCAATATGTACCTATTCCTATGTACCTATTCCTATGTACCTATTCGAAAAGCTTGGTCGTTGACCCGTAAGATAAACGTCCGCGCGCATCCATACGGCTGGCGTTATGCGTAAAATCACAACAACAATTTTGCAAATGTGATGCTAAATTTAATTAAACATGTTGTTGTTTACATTTTTTTAGGTAAACATAATCCTTATCATGTACTATATCACCTGTTAAAATATTGTGCACTATTTTTGTTAGACCTTATATTTGCTTGCTTAGTAGTACATATATACATCTCAAATTGGTGTACAATAAAGATTATTATTATTTACATTTATTTATTTAAAATTCTCTACAAAATACATTTTTAAATACTACTTACAAAATAAAAAATAACGTTTAAAAATATAAAAAATAGGAGCCGACCAGTAGCGGGAGCATGGTTCAAGCTACCGGTGGTTAGGGCTCCAGAGACAGAAACCTCCGCACAATACGTGCCATTCTATGAGAACTGCCTTCTGTATCAGGCCCTTGATCCATCCACCTAACGCCAGCCTCCTGAGATAGATGTCGAGGCTTTTAGGGATTAACCCATTGGCCGACACGACTATCGGCACAATGATAGCCGAATCCACATTCGACATGTCGACAACCTCGTGAGCTAAGTCTAGATATTTTATTTGTTTATCTTTCTCAGCTTTCACGAGGTTCTCGTCATGGGGAATGGTGACTTCGATTATCATCGTGCGGCGTACTTGTCGGTCTATCACCACTTTGTCAGATTTATTGGCTACAATAGTCCTGTCAGTAATGATAGACCGCCGCCCAGTACAATGTGATTTGGTCATTTTCCAGAACTGGGTCGGGCACATACTTGTAGTACGGTACCTCAGACTCAACAAGTCAATAGTGTAAAGCGAGTTGCTGATGGATAATCTTGGCTACTTAATTATGCCTATGCAAATATTCACTGTTAGCCAAACGACCACAACCAGAAATAATATGTCTAATGGATTCTTCAGGACTATGACATGCCCGACATATGTCAACCGTCCTATCCTTAATTATATATTTCCGTTAGTTATTCGTAAGGATAACTTCGTCCATAATTGCACAGACAAATCCAATCCTTCAGTTTCTCCAAAGAGATTACTGAATCGTAGCCAAGACACGGACGCTAGAAAATCTACACTGGGCCCGTGAAGGGCCTAGAAGAAGCGTCCGTGGAGGTCCTTGCTATGCCATACCACCTTGCGATCATTGACGCTCAGTACCACAGGTTTGCGCCAGTTCTCTTTTGCCAAGGATAGTGGAGTGAATCCATTGTCCACCGCTGCTACTTCTCGATGCATACCCTCGTTGACTTTCAGGACATATTCCCTGAGGCTGCACACCTCACGGTTGTGAAGAGTCTTAGCATTTAATAAGCCTCGACCACCTCACTTCCGCGGGATGTACAACCTCATGACCGACGAACGAGGGTGATGCATGCGATTTGCAGTCAGCAGGGTCCGGACTCGCCTATCCAGGGTGTCAAGTTCAGTTTGAGTCCACTTGAGTATCCCAAAATACAAAATACATACCAGAATACATTAGGACTGGCATGACCCACCCGTTAAAGGCTCACACCTTGTTTCCGCCTGATAAGGAACTTTTCAGTACCTTATTCAGGCGGCCAAAGAAGTGCTCCTGTAACGATTGCTTCATGTCCGGTCCATTAATGCCTATTCCTTCTGACATACCCAGGTACTTGTATGTATCGTTTGCGGAGAGTGATCTCAGCTTTGTGAAATCTGTAGACCCTTAGATTCCACAATCCCTCCCCGCTTTACATCCATGACCGCACACTTGTCTACTCCAAACTCCATTCTGATAGAACTACTAAATTTTTCAGTTATGTTCAGTAGTTCCATCAGTTGTTTCTTGTTTGGAGCAAACAACTTGAGGTTACCCATGTAAAGTAAGTGGGATATAACTAGACCCCTTCTCCGCAAAGCATAGCCTAGCCCTGAATCCTCCAGTAGAATACTTAGAGGATTCAAGGCCAAGCAGAACCATAGTGGGCTTAGGCTGTCACCCTGGAATATTCCTCGTACTATCCTTACAGGTTCTTCATTCCCTTGGATTTGTCTACATTCCGGATAACAAAGCACGGCGCTCCACTGCCTCATACATGACTCCTAGAAGGCGCGTAAACTTGCATCTATATCCAGCACCTTCAGGAGCCATGTATGTGGCACAGAATCATATGCTTTTTTGTAGTCTATCCAGCATGTAAACAAATCTTTTCGGGACCGACGAACCTGTTGGCAAACAACCATATCAGTAAGGAGTAGCTCCTGAGTTCCACGAGACATCCATTTTTTTCAATATTGTTATTTTTGTCCTCAAAATGGATGTAAGAAGTTTATAGACCTTTGGTAAACGTGTCATTGGTCTATAATTTTTGTAACACATGACAGGTATTCATGAGGACTAGTTAAGTTGGAATAAATAAATAAATAAATAAAAAATAAATAAATAAATAGTTTCAGTCCCCACAAATGCACGTCTTACATAGCGCATCACTCTAGGGCGAGTATTGCCTCCCTAAAGCAGGATAGTTTGCCAATGAGTACCCTGGCCTCACTGATACGACGTTCTATACTGCCAGGCAGGTACTGCTGGTTTTGGTCGGACTGCTGCGTCAAGATCTGGGAATCTGACGTTAGCCGCTCGACAAGCAGTTACCGCCCCACAGTACATGATTGAGTGTGTATCATAGAGATTTTCGCTACTTTCAAAATATTTTTTAAGTAGCGAATCCAAGGCGCTCACCAGCGCCCTATTTTTTTTTACACATGGGTAAACGTGGTAATTTTAGTCTTAAATTACTAGGAGCAAGTCTACTCACGAACCGCATCCTCCAAAGCACTCCTCAGTCGTTCATTGCACTGAGTACTCACTTGTTCAACCCTGTCGTCCTCCACTCCAACGATAGGGGTGGTCGATGTCACACATTGTGACACTACAGGTGTCTGTGCCACCAATTGTGGTGGTGCGGGGACGACACGGTTGCGTATTGCTTCAAGGTGTAGCCGATCAAGCGTAGCCTCATCCAATCTGCAATTGCGTTGGATGACCCGCACTTGATCCGAGAGTCGTTGGGTCGAGACGTTGACAGATGGTTCAAGCACCTGAAACATAGACAGCATCCTTTCACAGTACGCCGTGAGGTTAGTCCCTCCCTCTGTAGCATCGTAGTATGCGCGCATGACGTTCTCGTTTATACATTGAGTCCATTTCATGCGCCGCACACGACCACCGGTAGACCCGGGGACCCGTCCCAGGGCCTGATGGCCCCTCTTTCCCATGGCCCCTCTTTCCCAAGCCAGTCGGTGGCCGGCCTCTCCCCGGCCGACGTACAGGTGGTGGCGACCTATTTACGAAAAGTTCATTGTGTGTTGCCAGTTATTATTATTATGTATGTCTCTACCATTCACGGGACCACAGGGTCCCGGTCATTTGGGAGGCGTACGAGGGCGGCGTACGTAAATGTAATGGACACACAAACCGGCGACTATCCCTGTATGCACTATGGAAATACACCCATGGACAGTCCCCGGTTAGTGTAGAACTGTTGTGGATAATGGAAAAAAACGATAGGGCTATGGATGGGTTGCTGTGGTCTGGTAAATTGGGAACTATGGATGACTATGGCACCTGCCGAAACAATGTAATTACTACACGTAAAAATGCCAGGCGGAGACTCGCACACTCACCGACCGGGCCCCGAGAATGGTTGCTAGATATAGCAACAGAGGGAGAACGAGAATGTGAGTGGCTGAAGGGTTAAGAAACTACCACCGCTTTCTGCTCAGATCATCTGGTCCAGCCGAAGTCTCCTGCATCCCTGGCCCACTCGCAACTTACGAATAGTTTCTTACCCTCCGAGCAGGATCACTATTATATTATTATATTATTACGATATTATTATTACGTAACATTATAGTGTATCACGCTACAGGTGTCGGCAGACTGCATCACGCTGTGCGTGATCGACGACTGCCTAGACTCCGACGTGCCTCTACTCGAGATCTCGCTCACCGAGCTGCAGGTGGAGCAGGTATACACACACTATACTCTTGACTAACATCACTGACTTGTGTCTGTAGTCTACCACCTATGTTTTTTTTTACTAAGACTACTCTAACAACATTATTCTAACATGGATTCAGGATTTACGCAAAATAGAGGAGTCGTTCGAAGACCCGATGTTGGTGTCGACGCCCGCGGGCCCGGGCGGTGCTCTAGTGGGACGGGGGCCGGGCCCCGGCGGGGGCCCGCGGGGCTCGGGCGCCGGAGGGGGCCGGCTGGGGGCGCTGCTCACCGTCGACTACTACAACCGCACGCTGTCCGGCTGGGAGCCCGTCGTGGAACCCTGGAGGTTTGCCCGTTTGTTCGCTAATGATGTCGCGACGTGCTATTTGTTGCAAAATTGTAAAAATCCTATTGTTCAGATTCGAGACATCGTGGGAGTACACTCTAACGAGCGAGCTATCGCTGGGGCGGGTGCAGATGGAGGTGGCGTCCAGCGAAGTGCTGAACACCAACGTCACCTCCTCACTCATCGAGCTGGCCGAGCTGGTGCGCGCCAACTGGACCGCTGACTACTACGCGCCGCAGGTACTCACGCCAGTAATGTTCATATTAAACCCGGGCGGGATGCTCCCCAGGGGCAAGGTATGCAAGCATGGCTCCTCCTCATCAGTCCCGAGCGCTATTTACGTATTGAAGGGTGTGTTTTGTTTACGTAGTCATCCGCAACACAGGAGCAGTCTCCCAAGGGCAGCCCGTCCGGCCACCGGCGGCGCTCGCCCTTCGTGCCCTACGCGCTCCGCAACCACACCGGACACCGACTCCTGTTCACCACGCTCGTCACCACTTCCGATGAGTGAGTGCTAGCTCGGTCCTGCAATATACGAACCGCTCCTTGTATTTAGCGCGTGCTATAACAAGCCACGATGGTTCGTACCATGTGCAGGTTGCGAGAGCAGACCAGTTGGTCGGGGCCGGACGACTCGTGGATGATGGTGCGCGCGGGCGACACGGAACCGTTCTCGTTCGGACAGCGGCGTGGCCGGCGCCGGGGCCGGGCCGGCGGCGCCGCGCCCGGACAGAACGCCGCGCTCAACCAGCTCGCGCTGCGCCTCGACGGCTGGTCGCCGCCAGACCCAGTCTGTGTCGACAGAGTCGGCGTCTTCTTCAGGAACCTTACGCACACAGTATGTCATTTGTATATTCTTACATCCATCCATTCATGTCGAAGGCCGAATATTTCATTTGTTAGTACTCATTGTAGAAATCTGGTGCCGAGGCTCGCATAGTATTTGAAGTATCTCTGGAGGGGTCAGCTCGGAAGCTAGTGACGGTGCGATCGGCGCTGCAGCTCGTCAACAAGCTGCCGCACCCCGTGGAGGTCAGGGTGGACCATGCGCCCTCCGCAGGTGAGACTCGCGCGCAGTTTGATATTCAAGCGATCACTGCCAATTCTTGGCGAACTTGTGGCGAGTTTTGTTCAGTCGATACTCTAAGAAGTAGGTCCCCGTAGTAGTCGGTCGCACTTGGCAAGGATAGCGGTGACGAGGTGGCGTGCGCAGAGCGCGTGTCGGCGATGGCGCGCGCGCAGGCGGCGCTGCGCGGCGCGTGCGCAGGCCTGGCCGCGCGCCGCGCCTGCGCAGGCAGAATGTCTACTGCGCAGGCCTGGCCGCGCGCCGCGCCGGCGCCGCGCCCCGCCCGCCGCGCCCGCTGCACCCTCTGTTTGTCAACTGCGGTACTGTCCATGCTGAACACTTGCTCTCTGCTGTACCGTACTGCTCGCACTCACGATGTACTCCATCTTGCACGACATTACTTATACCTCTAGTTATAAAAGTAATCAATTTATATGAAATAATTATTGTAATTAGTGTAAGTATACGTAAATTAGGTATTATACAGTAAAATACCTGCATTAGCATAAATTATTTGAATGTTGTTTCACGTTGTAGAAAGTTTTCTGAATATCAATTTATATTGTCATGATTTGTGTCGCTGAGAATGTTGGTCTCGCATGCAGCCGCATGGAGCGGCGGCAGCGTGCGGTCGGCGCAGGTGTGCGCGGGCGCCACGTGGGCGGCGCCGCTGTGGGCGCAGCCCGCCGCGCTGTGGACGCGGCCCCTGCTGCGCGCGCAGGCCGCGCCGCCCGCGCCCGCGCCCGCGCCCATCGACTGGCGCAACGCCCCCGGCGACCGCGCGCTGCTGCACTACGAGTGCCGCGCCCCGCCAGACCACGTGTACAGGTCAGACCGCCACCAACTTGCTTAACTAGACCGCTACATTTGTTCTGAGAACGCTTTCAATAATATTGCTTGTCATTGTTGTAGATTCTGTTGCGTCATAGTCCGCGAGCGATTCCCCCCAGACAGGGGCACGCCCATTGCTGGGCACACGTTGACCTTAGTACCAGCGCTGAGACTGGAGAACCTGCTGCCGCTGGAGCTGCAATACCGAGCATGTCCTGCTGTGCCGGGCACGACCACTGTCAACGCATCCGGCAACATACCTCCTGGAGACACCATGCCTTTCCACGAGGTACGACAATAAACATGTCAAATATTGTCCGACATAACTATTAGTCACGTTGAACGTTGTGTGTGAACATAGTGTCTCAGTCGCGAGCTATTTATCTTCAATAGTTTTGTGCCGGCAGCGAAAGAGATACAACTGGGTTTACTATGCGATAGGTGAAAGTCTATGCTCTATGGTACCAAAGATATAACTGAGCGTAAAGGTTATTTTCAAGTAAATTAACACAAACATGTAAACGAAATTAACAAAACGCGGTATCGGTATCTGCACAGGTTAACGTAGAAGAAGGAGTCGAGTTGAGTGTGAAACTGGAGGGTTTCGGCTGGTCGACAGCGCTGGTAGTGGGCGGGGGGCATAGCACCTTAGGGGCGGCGTCCGGCGCGGCCGTGGGCGGCGGCGGGGGCGGCTCCTTCACGGCGCGCCTCAAGCTGCGGGACTCGCGCGCCAGGAGGCTGTACCTCAACGCCAGGGTCACCGTCAAGAAAACTGACGGCATCAAGGTACGCAAGGCAGCGGACGGGTCGGTGTAGTCGTGTGTCGGAGGAGATGTCCGTGACGCAGGCCGTGCTGCAGGTGTCGCTGGCGGCGCCGTACTGGCTGGTGAACCACACGGGGCTGCCGCTGGTGTTCCGCGCGGAGGGCGCGGCGTCGGCCGCGGCGGGGCAGTTCGACGAGCACGAGCTGGCGCGCATGGTGCAGCCGCTGCTGTTCTCCTTCGCGGAGGCCGACGGCGGCCCCACCATCTCCGCCAGGGTCGGACGAGGCCTGCCCGGCACGCCAGAGGTTAGTACGGTATCACGCCTCAGTATTACTTTTGGTATTCAACTCATTTCACGTTTTGGCGTAGTCATTTATTTATAGAACATGAAAGTATTAATATATTTTTTTTATTAGCTGTAAGCCTTCACAGCTACTTAAGAACAATTTAGAACAGTAATAAGTACAGGTATCGGTGAGCCAATTACAAGTCCTCGCGTATAGAACTACAATGAATGAATGGATGAATGGTGTGAGTACCGGATAGAACAAAAGATTAAAAGGTAACTAATAAAGGTAAACGCAAAAATACAGACCATGCAAGCAAACTAATTTACAATTTACTTGTTTATTAATATCTATACCTTTCGTTAGTCTAGAACGCGGATCCAGCGACACACAATGTATTTTCAATTGTGTCTAATATCGGTGCATTTAAGAGGTAAAGTATTGTCTTGCGGAATACACACTAGTTGTAAAAGGATTGAGTTCATATTCCTTACAAATATTGTTAAAGTTTCTGCTTGCACGCACCATGTAACTGTTCTACCGATATTTAGATGATGAACCGGGCACGTGTAAAGGTCCATTGAATCGAAATATTTTACTAGGTACATACATTGAATTAGATTTTTGATAGTAGTTGCGGACTATCCATATTACTATTGAGAACTGTTAACAAGATAATCTGCAATGTTGTAATCTACCAATGGTAACAGATGATATTGTCTACTGGTGTTTTGGTGAAAACAAAGATGTTTTATAAAACGTATTTGAATGTTGTCCACGCGGTCAATTTATTTCTGATATCTTGGATTCCATAGCTGATACTCATATTCCTGGCTCTGACATAAGTGCAATATAGTAATTTAAGGGTTTTTGCATCAGTGACATTTTATGAAAGACGTAATTCAAGCAATTTAGAGTATTTTGACGATTGTATCGATATGCGTGTCGAAAACTAATTTATACTGTCTTGATGGACGCCTCTTAAGTAATACCTAATAATATGGCGTTCCTCAGTGGTGCTCTCCATTCGGACTGGGCGTGGGCGTGGCGGTGAAGAAGTTGGAGGTGCGCGGCGAGGGCGAGGGCGGGGCGGGCGATCGCGTGTTCGCGGTGGGCGTGCGCGTGCGCGCGGGGCGGGGCCGCTACCGCCACACCAACATCGCCACCTTCAGCCCGCGCTACCAGCTGCACAACAACACCTCGCACCACCTGCAGTTCGCGCAGAAGTGCTGCGCCACCACGCTGGTGAGTGTCGCGCGGCGCGCGCCCGGCCGCCTGGCGCGCGCTGACGCAGGCTTGTGTGCAGACCGACCCGGGCGCCATGGCCACGCACGTGGCGGCGGTGGCGGGCTGCTCGCTGCCGTGGCACTGGGCGCGCTGGGAGCGCGAGCACTGCCTGAGCGTGCGCGTGCTGGCGCCGGCGCCGGCCGCCGCGCCGCGCACGCACTGGTCGGGCGGCTTCCGGGTCGACGCCACCAGGACGCTGCACCTCGCCTGCAGGTACTCGTGTTGTTTATTTTTAGTTTCTTACTTTCATCTACATATCGATCATGTCATCAAGAAGTCGTACAGGCAGCTTGGTTTCATTACAAGAATTGCAAAGCCATTTAAACGAGCTAGTACTTTAAAGTTACTTTAGTTTTGTACGTTCTCTATTAGATTTTGCATGTATCATCTGGAGCCCCTATTATGCATGTCACATAACTAGAATTGAAAATATTCAAAAGAAATTCATTAAATGTTTAGATTACCGCTGCTGTCACCCTCATGTATCTTATGAGACCTCTTTAAGATACCACAATTTGTCATTGCTCTCTGACAGAAGAAAATACTTTGATCAAATGTTTTTATTTAAAATAATTAATGGTTATATTGACTCACCCCCACTATTAGAAAGAATATATCTAAGAGTGCCCCGACATGGTTCCCACTTCCGAACATTATTTTCAGTGCCCTCTTATAGAACAATATACACAAATAACAACTTTTTCAAACGCAGTGTTTGCACTTATAACGAAGAATTAAATGAAGTAGACATATTTAATACCAGTTTCAATGTTTATAAATCTAAAATTAAGCAGAAATATTCTCAGAGCTAGGAAAAGAATTATATCAGGGTCACTTTATAAGTATGTAAATTGTTTATCATTTAAAAAACTTTATCTGTATAATTCTTTTCTTGTTTTTTTTAATGTATACTACTGATTTGACACCTTTAAAAACAGTGTCTTTTCGTATTTTATTGTTTCATGGAACTCTAGGTCTGTATGTATCACACTGTATTGTAATAATTTTATTTGTAAAAGACTGTTTGTTTCCTGAATAAAGAAAAATAAATAAATAAATACTTTTGTATGTTGTGTCTAAATACTCAACGCATTCGATGAATTTATCGAGAATATATTGGTGGTGGCAGGGAGCCGGGTGGCGGGTACCAGTTCTTGCGCGTGGAGGTGGTGTCGCAGGGCGCCACCATGTTCGTGGTGCTGACGGACGCCGAGTGCGCGCCGCCCCCGCTGCGCATCGACAACTACTCCCCCGTGTCCATCATGTTCCACCAGGTGCGTTGGTTCCCCCGCGGCCCGCGCTGGCCGCGGCGCAGTACGAGCAGTGCGTGTGCAGGTGGGGTGCGGCGAGGAGTGCGTGGTGGGCGCGCACGGGCGCGCGCGCTGGGCGCTGCCGGAGCCGGAGGCGGCGCGGGCGCTGGCGCTGCGGGCGCCCGGCGGCCCGCGCACGCAGCTGGCGCTGGACACGCTGCCCGCGCACCACCAGCTGCTGTACCAGAACTTCATCTACGTCGCCTTCAGCGCCACGCAGCACACGTACGTATGGAGCCCCGTGCAGCAGCCTGCGGGCCGCGCACAGCCTGCTACAGCTGTCGGTTACAGCGGCGAGGGCGGCAAGCAGGCGGTGGACGACAGCGTGCTGGTGCTGGAGGTGCCGCTGGGGAGCACGCGCGTCGTGCTGGCCAGGAAGCGGTACGGGGACAGGTATGGACACTGATAATACTTAATGTTATGGAAAATATTGAGTGTTATAAAAATGCGGCTAAGACCTTTTTGCTTATGTATGAAAATGATCAATGATGTATCGCAGAACGCAGTTATGGCGGCGAGGCCCCAACGAGCAGCTGATCCACGAGGGCAGCTCCCCGCCGCAGCCGACGGACGCCTTGCTGTCGGACGAGGCGCCGCTGTCGCCGCACGCCATGGTGCTGGACATCGAGGACGCGGCGCCGCGGCCGGGCCGGGCGTCGGCGCTGGTGCTGCGGCGCGCGGACCCGCGCCGCGCCTCCACGCAGGCCTGGCGCCTGCTGGCGCCCGGCCGCATGGCCTGCGCGCACGCCAACCTGTGCGTGCAGCCCGACGGACTCTCGCTCATGGCGCTCACACCCGGTGCGTGCTACTTGCATTCTGCTTTATTATTACTTTCATTAATCATTCAAAATCATTGAGATGTTGACTGAAATGATTTGACCATAATATACGAAAAGTGTATTTGTATTTTTATAAATAAATAAATTTTGTATTTATTTATATTTATTTATTTATATTTATTTTATTTATTTTATTTATTTATTAAATAAAAAAAGTGAATTGGAAAAGTTTAGAGCTTCACAGCCCTCCGAGTCTATGGCAAAATAGAAAAGAAAGTGTTATCCTCCGGAGGAATTAACCTCGATTTGTATCAAGGTACTCGAGTCGTCCTGGGGCTACCGGCGTCGGGGCGCGCGGGCTGGTCTCCGACGTCGCCGGTACCGGCGGAGCAAGCAGTGTCGTGGCACACGCTGCGGCCCGGCTCCGGCCGCCTGGACGTCACGCTGTGTGCCGATGGTCCCACGCGGGTCGTCCAGATCCGCGACCACAAGGAGCCCGTACGTATGCTGCGCCTGCGCCCCCGCCGCGGCCGCGCGACCGGCCTCAGTAGCAGTCTGTGCAGGAGGCGGGCTGGCTGGAGGGCGGCGCGGCGGACGAGGACGAGGCGGGGCCGGGGGCGGGCGCGCGGCGGCGCGGCTGGGGGGAGTGGGGCGTGCGCGTGTCGCTGGCGGGGCTGTCGGTGTCGCTGGTGTCGCGCGCGCCGCCGGCCGAGCTGGTGCACGCGCTGTTCGACGCCGTGCTGCTGGAGCTGGCGCTGCAGCCGCGCAGCCTGGCGCTGGCGCTCGCCGTGTCGCACATGCAGTGGGACAACCAGGTTTGCATGCTATATAAAATACCTCGTGTGTTCATAAGTTTTGAGACAAATTAAAAGTTGCATATCTTTTTAAATAATAAACTTATATTTATAAAAACAATAACAAACATTAAGTAGATAGTAAGTAAAAATTAAATATAATTATTATTCAAAATGACCACCCCTGTTTTTAATACATGCCCTTAGACGATTTGGCCAGTCATCAATGGCGGCACGAATCTTTTCCAGAGGAATTCGCTTCGCTTCTCGGACAAGAGCTCGCTTAAGTGACTCCAAGTTTGGGTGGGACTTTCGGCAGGCTCTGAGCTCTAATTCGGTCCATAGAGAATAATCCAGCGGGTTGAGGTCGGGGCTGGAGGAGGGCCATTCGTTCGCCGCAATGAAGGCCGGCACATTTTCCTTCAGCCAAGCTTGGGTGGTTTTAGCCTTATGGGATGGCGCCGAGTCTTGCTGGAAAACCCAATACTTGTTATGGAATAGGGTATTAGACAGGGGTTTCACAACAGTCTCTAGAATGTCACTTTGATAATTTTTGGCTTTCACCTTGACGCCTTGTTGGCAGAAATGAAGCTGAGTGACACCTTCGTACGAAACTCCCCACCATACCATGACACTAGCCGGATGATGAGTACGCGAGACATTCCGTGCTGAAGGTGGGACATCCTTGCTACTTTTGGCATACACTTTATTGTTTTGTCGATTGAACTTTTCTTCGACGGTAAAGATTTTCTCGTCGGTGAAGAGTATCTTCCTCGCATCGTGTCTCCTAAGCAGTATTGGACAACGTTCGCGTCGCAATTGACGAAGGCGATCGTTTAAAAAGTGTACTTTTCTACGGCTATACGCCTTAACCTTGAGATCATATTTCAGTATTCTGTTGACTGAAACGCGCGAAATATTGGTCTGCAGAGCGAGTTTCTTCTGAGTGCGACATGGATTTCGGCGAAGTCGCTCTCGGATGATTTTAATGTTCGCAGGCGTCCTCACAGAGCGTGGACGACCACTTCTTTGCCGATCATGTAAAGAACTTGTCTCCTGGTATCGTTTAATAGTGTAATACACGAAGTTACGGCTCACACCAAAACTTTTCAGTTCTCGGAAAATGTCCATAGGTTTTCTTCCCACCTTAAATAATGAAATGACGGTCGCACGTAATTCTTTTGTTCCCTCCATTACGAGAAAATTTAAATAAAATAATCCGAAATCATAGATATTAAAAGTTAACATTCCAAATTCAAAATTAGAAAAAGAAATATACAGCAGCCAGTAATTTTTATTTTATTTTTATAAGCAAAAAGTTTGTCTCAAAACTTATGAACACACGAGGTATATACCGGTACGTGTGGCAGTTGCTGGGCACGCCGAGCCCCGTGCTGCTGTACTGCCTGCCGGAGCGGGGCGGGGCGGGGGGCGGGCCCGGGGGCGGGGCGCTGCCGGCGCTGCACGCCGCCGTGGAGCTGCAGCGCGCGCCCACCAAGCGGTACAACGCGTACTTCTTTAAACATCTCGTCGTAGCACTGCGACCACTGGCGATACGATTAGAAGAAAGGTAAATTAATATTTATATTATACCGAATACTTTGTGTTTACTTTTGGAAATTATAAGATTGTTCAAGTAATTGAAATTCTGATGGATAAGATCTTTAACGAGGTGATCCGACAGAGAACTAAAGTTACCGATGTAGCCCAAAGGATTAGCAAGCTGAAATGGCAGTGGGCCGGTCACATTTGTCGAAGACCCTATAACGGTTGGGGTAGACTTGTTCTGGAGTGGAGACCGCGTCTAGGCAAACGTAGTGTAAGGCGCCCTCCAGCTAGGTGGAGTGACGATATACGTAAAGTGGCTGGTAGTGGTTGGATGCGTAGAGCTGAAGATCGAGCTCAGTGGCGTGCCATTGGAGAGGCTTATATCCAGCAGTGGACGAGACTGACAGGCTGTTGATGATGAAATTGAAATTCTTTATACGAAGACGTAACATGTGTCTTCCAGATTGGTGCTGCAGCTGTGGGCGTGGGCGCGGCTGGAGCAGGAGGAGAGCGCGCGCGAGCAGGCCGACGAGGCAGACTACGAGACACGACGAGTCCTGTCCGACCTCACCGCGCTACACACCACGCGATACTACTTCGCGCTCATCAAGATCATCCCCAGCCAGGTCACAGCCCACACACCTGACATACCACACTGCCACACCACGCGATAATACTTCGCGCTCACCAAGATCATCCCCAGCCAGGTCACAGCCCACACACCTGACATACCACACTGCCACACCACGCGATAATACTTCGCGCTCTCCAAGATCATCCCCAGCCAGGTCACAGCCCACACACCTGACATACCACACTGCCACACTGACAAGCCACGCGTCTCTCAACATGAAATACTACTATTCTTAAAATACATTAATAAACAATAAAATATTAACGCAGACGTCTCGTCTCAGTCCAAACAGTAAACAACAACAGTTGTTTGAAACACTCATGGATTGTTACTGAATACATGTGTTTTATTTTTATTACGCGCAGCGTTTGGCATCCAAAAAGGTCAGATTTGACGTTGATTTATTATATTCGATATTGCTACGTGTTGTACTGCCAGCGTTATTTTCACGGCCGTTGTATACCGACTAGTAGAACTACATAAAAGTAAAATTATAGAATACATTGCTAGTGTTCCCACAGACTTATCTACACATGTACTTTATTAACATTTACACAAATATCATTGTGGGTGGCTGCCTCATAACTAGGTGAAGAGTACAATACACCCCCAGTTGTGAGTCCCTTGTTGTAGGTAGCCAGCCGCCAGTAATGTGCCGTGTGTAGATCCGCCTGTCGATGTGCACGGCCAACAAGCTGGAGGGCTCGCTGAGCGCGCTCAAGCGGCGCCTGGGCCTGACGTTCATCAAGTTCGAGGACGCGGCCGTGGAGCTGGAGCCCTTCGTGCGCGCGCATGTCTTCGACACCGCCTCCTACCTCGGCAGGCAGATGCTGGCGCACTTCAAGGATGTAAGTGCCGGGCACCTTCGTTGTTCATTCAATACTCAGCGGGCGCGGTTACACATAGCGCCTGACGTAAAGTGACGTAAATGACCTTAAGTTTGTTATCAGAAAAAAATATAATATTAGACAATAAAAGACGTACTCTTATGTTAATTTTAGTACTGTTGTAACTTAGTACCCACTATTGATCCCAGGAGTTGAAGTGGCAAGCGGCTAAAATACTCGGCTCTGTGGATTTCCTGGGAAATCCTCTAGGCTTCGTGGCGGATGTGTCGGAGGGCGTCACAGGCCTACTCTTAGAGGGTAACGTAGGCGCTTTACTCAAAAACGTCACCCATGGAATATCCAACTCTGCTGCCAAAGTTACAGGTACCAAATACATAATTATTATTAAAGCTTTGTGTGTTTTTGTCTCCGACGACAGCGACTGACCATTGCCCGTCCGCAGAGTCCCTGGGCGACGGGCTGGAGCGCGTGGTGAGCGACGAGGCGCACGAGGAGACCCGGCGCCGCATCCGGTCCGCCGCGCCCGCCGGACACCTGGCCGCCGGCTTCCGGGGGCTCGGCCTCGGCATACTCGGTGCTGCACGCGACTATCTGTTCTGTCTATAATGGCTTTCGGGTTGGATGTTGTTGTAATATTGTCGTGCTGCTGCAGGGGGCATGACGTCGCTGGTGAAGCACAGCTACGAGGGCGCGACGCAGGAGGGGCTGGGCGGGTTCCTGGCGGGCGTGGGCAAGGGCCTGGTGGGCACCGTCACCAAGCCAGTTATTGGCGTGCTCGACCTCGCCGCCGAGACTGCGTCCGCGCTGCGGGACACTAGCCGCAGGTGACATAATTATTATATTATTGTGTAGCACTTACTTGGATCCAGCTTGGGCCTGGATCCGCCCTGAGTGGCGAGTGGAGGTACAGCGGCGCGTGCGCAGGTCGGGGCGCGAGGTGCCGGCGCGGGCGCGCGGGCCGCGCTGCGTGGCGGGCTGCGGCGGGCTGCTGCCGCGCTACTGCGGCGCGCAGGCGGCGGGCGCGGCGCTGCTGTACGCGCTGAACCACACGGACTACTCGGAGCACTTCCTGGCCTACCGCGCCGTGCGCGACGCGCCGCACGACATCCGCGCGCTGCTGTCGGACCGCTACGTGCGCATCATCACGTGCAAGCACGCGGCGCCGCAGGTGGTCATGGAGACGCACCTCGGCAACCTGGTGTCGTGCTGCGTGCTGGCGGCGGACGGCGCCTACTTCGTGGAGCTGGGCGTGCGCGGCGGCGGCGCGGACGCGGTGCGGCGGCCGCGCGTGCAGTGCGACAGCCGCGAGCTGGCCGCGTGGGTGTCGCGCCACGCCGCCTACGCGCGCCAGCTCTACCACGAGCACCTGCACACGCTGCTGCCCGCAGACCTGTAGCCGCGCCCGCAGACTTCTACTGCACGCGCCCGACCGCACCTTTCTGATCCAAACCCGTCAATTATCTTGGTCCGTCCGAGTGATGACTCGAGGACAACAATATTAGACTAGGAATACGAATTCCTTCTACGTTTACACATACAAAAACGTAGCTGCAGTCTGAGTCTCGTAAATGACTGATCTGACTGGACACGGAACACTAGGACAACTTGTGAAACGGTCATGTAATACGGCCTCACAGAATACTAAACTGCCGATATTGAAATATGACAATGTTATAAATTACATCAACAAGTATTCAGAAGTATTATTGTAAAAGACACTGCGACCTAACTTGAATAACATTAGAATAATATTAACTTATGATACTCTCGTACAACTATGAATGTAGTTGTGATATTATGTGTACACTTACTCATCACATGCATGTTTCAAACGAGTGAACTACATCGAGCCGAGTGGCGTCTACATCTTGTATACTTACTACCATCTGTATCAATCACATCACAGCGACGGGAAGTAAGCAGTGTGCAGGTATTCACTTTAGATATTTCCCGAGCAATCATTATTTTACCCCAACAATAAATACAATCATTTTGCAACATGTTTTATAAAACAGAATACTAGGTCGTACCCGCGACTTCGTACGCGCAATCCCAGTTTTACCCGTTCCCATAGGATTTTCGGGAAAGCCCTGGATAAAAAGTATCCTATGTCCGTCTCCTGGTTCTAAGCCACCTCCATGTCAATATTCAGCCAAACCGATTTAGCCGTTCTTGAGTCATAAATAGTGTAACTAACTGTGTACTATATCGATGACAACTTTTGTATACTGTGAAGTTTACTTATACACTGATTTACCAGAAAATATGAATAATTTATTACCCATTTACTCTGTGAAACCGATGCTGCAAGATAAAAGTTCACATCGGTGAGTATTCAAGATGTAACCGCAATATCAGTGTTCATTGTGTATATACATAGGTAGTAGCTTATAGTAATATTACGAAGGTATTGTCGACATTATTTGACACAATATATTTGTAGTTATATTAAATACAATGTCGAACTGATTAACTTATCCTAGTGTGTATTTATCTCATTATCTAATCACTAATCCAGTCAATATGTTCATGTGTATGGCAATTGACATAATTTATTATGATGAATGATATTCATATTTGTGTAGTACTAAATGCGATTGAAGCCCAATTTCATTCAGATGGAATAAGTTTCACTTAAATTTAACATTTAATTAGCAGTTATTCTTGGGATAAATCGATATATGTGAACCTAACAATAATATCTGCTGCGATATCGTACACTAATGTCGGAATACTGAAACACTACTCAATTTTAAGTCGTGCTTAAGTATAGTTCTATCTCTACAAATTCTTTGTAAAATGACAGAGATGGCACGACATTTGAGCACGACTTAAAATTGAGTAACGTTTCAGTATTCCGGCATAAGATACATATGTGTACGGAAATGTCATGGATTGTTTTTCTTTTGTGTACGTGTTTACTTTTAAAACTTGACGAACTTATTCCAGTGGCGAATAAGATTTATTCCACCTGAGTGATGTAGGCGCTAGTCGTGATACTGACCATTTCGTGGCAAGCTATAAATTAATGTTCCAATGTGATACTTGTATCGATGTGTATGGCTGGTGAGGATAATTTGTTGTAGAATATAATATGGGATGGTACTTTTAACGTGTTTCCGCAGTACGAGAGATCCAGCATTGTGATTGCAATATAGATAATATTTTGAAAGTACGCTGACAACGGATACTTATCAATATCAATTTTCCGTTGAGTGATTTGTTGTTGTTGACTCTCGAGGCAAAACACGTTAAAGATATTTCCCTAATATAATTTCGTGTTACTTCAGATTGATATATTTTGTGTACGATGTGAAGATATGAAGGTCGATTGAGCAAAATTATCTTAGGCTGTGATATAAACCTATGACAAGTCGGCATAGTTCGCCAGTCCTCGGAAGTGGGCAACACTTTCTATTTGTATACATTCCATTGCAAGTTCCTTGACGTGTAGATCCCAATAACTAGCAGAAACAGCAATGTAATGCCAGCGTGTTGCACGTCACGTATTATGTTGCATGTCCTATGTCAGATGTTGCCAATTTCTTTGTGAAATGGCCGGTCCCATAGATGTCGAAAGGCAAGGTATTCTTCAAGATTTACTTTGTAATGTTAGGATCCAATTACATGGATATAATTATGCCCAAAATAAAAGATAAATGGAGGTTGTTTTTAAAACAATTCAAATTGGCGGTTGTATGAACATAATACATTGAAATTGTTGCGAACGAGGCAGCGGATAGATGTTGCACAGGAAGTGAGAATGACTAAGTAATAGAGAAAATAATATACGATAAAAATATGTTGGCAATAACAATTCGTAAGATATTTGAAAAAAAAAATGATATAAATGAATTGGTATATCTGAAGGTAGAAGTGACAAGTGTGCTTTTTTATGTTATCTTGTGTTTGTGTTTTGCGTGATGTCATTTTAAATAAATAATGTTGGTTGCCTGTCAGTTACTGCTCAGTATAATTTCAGCAGATATTTTTCACGTTTTAGATTAGTAGGCAGTTGAAGCAAATTGTATGTTGGGTTGTAATGACCTTCTAATGGGCGAAAGTGCGTAGTTTTATTTTGATAAGAACGACTACGATAGCTTTATATTCATGCTTAATAATTTCTGTTTTTGACTAGAAAGTCATCTGTGTACATTGTTCAGCGGAGTGAATAGCGGAGGTTATTTAATTAGAACTACTGGTTTAGTTACACAACATTACCAAAGTACGGCTAACTATAAGTGGACGAGGTGTCTGTTCGTAATTGTTTATTAATTAATAATTAAAAGTATGACAATGAAAAAGGTTTCCACTAATTTATTAAATAACATCTGTTGTGGTTTGATTTCATCAGAATAAATATCTTGAAAACTTCGTATATTTTGTGTTTTATTTATTCTCGAATATGTAAAATTGTATTATCAATACATAGTATAAAACAAAGTCGCTTTCGCTGTATGTCCGTATGTATGCTTAGATCTTTAAAACTACGCAACGGATTTTGATGCGGTTTTTTTTAATAGATAGAGTGATTCTTAAGGAAGGTTTGTATGTATAATACATGCATATTGCACCCGTGCGAAGCCGGGGCGGGTCACTAGTTATAATATAAAAAGATGTTGTATATTTGATATTTCATAAACAAAGGTGCTGAAGGTGTTTGCAATTCTGCTCAAGGCGAGTGACTAATTTTATTTATATTTCCCTGTTCTTTCTTGAATAGTAGGTACGAATACTGCTCCACTTGTCAAACGTATCAAGGAACTACTTAAGTAATGTAGTACCTGTGACTAGTTTTCTAATCAGTAACTATTTAATCACAACAGTTTGCTTATCACTACAATAAGATGTTTGATGGCCTTGATCCGCTAATTAAACTGGAAGCTCTCAAACAATGATAAAGCGCACTCGGTAGATAGCGCGCAATCTCAGCCCACTCTCGCGCAGGCCACTCCGCGCCCGACGCACGCCGCCGCGCCACGCACGGAGGTCACTACAGGTCATCCGACATCAATAAATCCGCAGTTCGTCCTCCACACTATACACCAACGTACGTACCAATATGTGTATTAGTAACATTCTATAGTTGTTAGGTTAGCACGCGCCATGCAGTCGCACACATTGTTGACGTGCGTGTTTGTTGTGGCGGTGAACGCAGCGACCTTGAACGCGCCGAGGTGAGTGAAAAGCAATGTCTCGTTAACAGACTGCACCTTACTACTGTTACAATCGTCCGAGTCCGTTCTCGTAACAATTGCAAATTGTTAATGAAAGCGACTTCAAAATAATGTCTGCCAATTACAAATGTAGGTATGGTATTTAAAATAAGTATTTATGAGTAGTTATTGGATGAATTACAGCTGCAAATAGCAGCTGTAATTAATCTTCATTATTGTTTGGTATAGGTATCGATTTATGACGCACCCGGTGGAAAAGACTGCAATGTACATAGCTACCTAGCATACCTGTAACTGGTTGACGGATTTAAAGTGATTCAGTGCCCATTCCGCAAAGTATCAATTTTAAATGATATTTAATCGCAATCAGTTGAGGTAATTCGAGTAACTATCGACGAACATTACTTTACCGTTAATCAGTTTAACACTACATTACATTAAGTTCGCATTTATGTCCATTATTTTGAAAGCAAATTTGTTTATTTTAAACAAAGTTTTGAAAAGGGTCTTTCAACAAGGACAATGAGAAAAATAATTATGATGATACATCATACCTAGTAGAGGTAGAGCTGAGGAGAAATTTATATATTAATGTTCCAGCATGTCGTCGGTCGAGTACAGTAAGGTTCCGATCAAGGAGAAGCCTTTATTTCAGCCACCGCTACAGGAGATCGCGGATGGTGAGTTGTTCAATTTGCTACTTACCCACACTTTGGTTAACCTGTGATATCACAAATATGTATATACATATTTACATTGTACTTATATGCATATTGTAGTACGGAACATTTTGTTGTCTAGTGCTGTCCGTGGGTCTGACCAGCACGTTCGAGACAGTCAGCGTGTCAGTAGCCGACACTCCAGACCTCACTCAGTCTCCATACAACCTCGTTACACCAGGTAATAATTTATTTTAACAAAGGTTAACATTTACTGGATATCTCACCTTGCCAGGCTAGCGTATTGGTGTCCATGGAGTATAACAATTATATAATAATATAAATATTATAATTACATAATATTGACCTATTAATATTGTTGTTCCAAGTCTCGGCTCATATCTTCAAGTAAATACATGATAACTGAGACAATAATTTGTTATCTATCAGATGAGTTGCCTTCTGAATTTTATTAGTTGTTTCAGCACAGATATAACTTGAACGAAAACATCAAACACGAAATTACAGATAACAACTTAGTTCTGCTCAAAGTTAAAGTAGTAATAGACTGCCTGAGTATTCTTCAGTGATTTAGTCAGCCACGCAGTATAATATAATCTAGGGACCTTTTTGTAGGTCTGACGGGCAATGCTAAGCTCGTGGAGATCGGCGGTCCGCCGTACTTGTTACCACTAGTGCAGCGAGACAAGGTGTACGACCTGGCGGCACTCGCGCGCCACTTCCACAGCGACCCCGCGCTGCTGGCCGGCGCAGGCGCAGGGCCCTGGCCGCACATCGGAGTCAACTGCGAGGTCTGAAGAATCTCCTCCTTTTCTTGCAAGCACTACAACTACCATCGTTTGCGATTTGTTATACTTTTTAATTATGTTTAATGTTTTTCTAGGGTATAATAAATTTGAGCATCCGCAACGGTTCAGTAGAGCAAGGCACTCGAATAGTGTCTATAGAACCAGTGGGGGCGGCCAAGGGCAAGGGCGGCTACCTGCAGCGACGGCTACCTAACACGGAGACCAGGACAGCGCTGCTGGGGAACTATTTATTCAGTGAAGGAAAGCCAGGCAAGGTGTGTGCGCCTTCTCTCAGTAAAAGATAAGAGAGTTTGCGTTTCATTGTAATAAATTGTATTAACACACTTTTTATATTTATTTATATTGCAGGTAATAAAAGTAGTCGCAAAGAAACGCATCGGGCCATCAAACTTCATTACTGCCATCAGGGAGACGCTCAAAAACCACTATGGTGATGATAAAATTATCGGTTAGTAAGAAATGCTTAATGTAATACTAGATAATACCTGAATAGGATACCTGTGTTTAACATTCATCTTCTCGTCAGGTCTGGGTGGCATGTTCATGCTTCGCTCCGGCAAGGTGAAGTTCCACGTGATGCCGGACTTCTCCGGCACTGCGCTGTGCACGGACGCCGACGTCGACACCTGGCTGCACTTCTTCGAGATGCGCGCGCCCATCACACACGTCGGCACGCTTGTCACTGGAGATCATGTCAGTCTACCGCCAGTGCTTCAACTTTAACATTATTTAAACGTTGTCTCATACTATGGTTTTCTCCTGTATCGTAGATGTGTTTATCTACAAATATTCGACCCGGAACAATATATTGTGAACTACTAAAAAACACCCGCGCGACACGTCGCACATCAGCTGGTTGCGTGCTGTCACTGCGTCGACCGTGCAGTCGATTGTGGAGTACGATTGTTATCTGCTTTATTGCGTCAGACAGCAGCTCATGTTTGTATATTGAATTCTGTCCAGGGGCTAGACCTCCGCGTGCAGCACTTCCACGGGTTCAGTGAGCACGGCGACGGTGGCCACTACCACTACGACACCACGCCCGACGACGTGCACTACGAGGGATACTTCGCCCTCGCGTCATCCATCATACGGGTAGACGCGCCCGAGGAGACTCACGCAGTGGGGCGAGACTAGACCAATGTTGTGTTGTGCTAAAGTAGGAACAAAACGACGATTGTGGCAAATAGTTAAAAAATTTGAATTTTATTAATTGTCTATTTTTAAGGGTGAACCGGTAGTTTTCCTAACAGACCAACTGGAATATTGTAATAACATTTTTACAATAAATTACTATTTACGCTATTGTGTATTTCTTTTTAGACGTTGCCCCACACTAGGATTTTCTCCTGTGTCGTGGGTGTTTGTTTACAAACATACAATATCACATACACACGACACCCAGACCCGGAACAACAATCTGTGGATTACACAAAAAGTTGTTCCGTGCGGGAATCGAACCCGCGACACGTTGCGCGGCAGCCAGTTGCTCAGCCACCGCGCCAACCGTGCAGTCATTTTACATGTCGAAAGTCTGCCTGGGTCACTTATTTAAGTCAACAATGGATATTTGAATTTCGGTGTTCAGTTTGATTTCAATTCAATAAGGGATTGTATGCATGCAAATCTTATTTCCTTGAAAAACGTTTTTTTTATCTCTTTCTGACCTATGCATACATTTCATTTTCCGAGTCGTACGTAAATAAATAAAATTTTAGGAAGTCCTAGTCCCTCGGAATATGGCGCATTTCTCACTAACACTCAAATGTCATTCAAGAGTGTTTGCTGCCCAATTTTTAATAGACATCTTACGATGTTATACAGACCTAGTATTGAGATAAAATGATGAATTATTGATGAGAGCGTATGGAGCGTATTGCCAAACACATAATAGGGATGATGACGGCTAAAATGAAATGGTAACGCAGTGCGACACACCCGATCTTGCAAAATAATTGGTAATGACAGAAAAATAAATAGTGTGGTTTATTGTAGTCACTCACTCATAGTATATCAGGGTAAAGGTGTGGGAGAGGCAATAAAATTATAATAAAGGCTTTACCGTGTATTTAACTTATCTATGTGTTACAATTTTATTGAAAATACTCATATTTACACGGAACTTCGTTTACCATAGTATGTCAAGAAAGTTTCATCGTATGGTACTAGATCTGCCAGTATACAGTACTTCTCCGGGGAAATAGGTTGAAGGAGTTACAAGAACGAGACGTTAAACTACACAGAACACATCGTGGGTTGTCGATCACACAATGTGTTGGAGATTGAAGTTGCAAATATGTATGATTGTTGAAACTACCTCTACAATGTACCGTGTCGTTTGTTGCTATCTAGGGCAATCGAGAAACCTATTTACAAATAGACGACAGATCCCAGCTATTTCCTATACCCTGCAATTAATTACGTATTTTTTTAATTTACCAAGTTCACAACCAGAAATAGACGAATTCAATTTATTAAAGTAGATCTGTATCTACGTATGTATGTCGGAAATTAATGGCTATTCTTAAGCACAATAATATATACGATACATAAAGGCTGTCAGTAAGATCAGAGCCGATAAAAGTGAGAGAGAGAAATTAAGATTATTTGGCTAATAGTAGTTTTCAGATTGTAGCTTGTGTTCTGTGTTAGAATAAGGTTCATATTTGGGTGTAAGGCTGTATCCTTAGACAGGTGACACGACGCACGCCTGGTGGTATTTTGCCTGAACCTGAGATGTAGATATTTAAGGAGTTTTCATTTCTGTAAGGAATTTATTCGACACACATGTACCATACGTATGAAGACTCTCGTCATAGTCAGTGGGCTAACATTCTCAGAGACTGGCTCTCTGCATTTACATTACAAAAATAAAGTACATATATATTCGTCGTATATTTTATATACACATAAGTGAAGTTGGGGACTCAGTATCTCATATAGCAGACACTCATACGAGTGCCAGAATACATACCATCGTTACACATGATTATTGGGGACGTATGTTACATTCATTAGACGAGGTGTAAATATATCGATATACCACGAGTATTTCATTCAACTGGGGGAACGTTTTCAAAGATACATGGCGCTGATTATAGTACATGTACTTAAATAATACAAACAAACATAAACAATACTTCATGGAACTCAGTCATACAGTTACACCATTACCGAGTCGGATCCAGTTCAATGTAACTAAACCTTTTAGGCAATATACAATTTTTTAAATATTAAATTATATAACCAATTAATTACTTGTAGAAAATATTAAATACGAATAATGATATGGACCATGAGGTCATGTGAACAATATCGTTCGACATAGTATATGAATATTGTATTGACACAATACAACAGAATGATACATTGCTCGACACTGGATCACGAACGTGCGCCTCACCGCAGGGAATCACTCGAAGCATTACACAGCCCGCGTTTCCTATCTCACTAACAACAATTTAATAATAAATAAAACTAAACAGTACGCGACTATAGTTAGCAGGGACCTCCGTGTGAATAATGCACAATAACGAAGGTCAGACTTGTTTACATAGCAGTCACCACGACTGAAGGGAGAGCCGGTATGAGGGCGCACGTTGTGGCCCGACCGATGGTTGGCCAGACCATGATGTCGCACTTGTGCTGGCCACGATGTGATGTGCTTAATAAACTTTGTTTTATCATCCGTATATGAATAGCGTTCCACGTTATCTTCTGTAAGCCGTCGCACCATGCAATGTGTAACACAATGGCGCCCATCCATCAATCGGCTCACCACATGTAAGTTGACTATTTACATACCAACTATAGTCGAGTTTTTTATAAACAATTTTGAGCTATTTCTAACCAATTTTACAATTTTTTACACCTAACTACAGCTGCGAATGCTCAGTTAATGATAAATCCGTAGCGAGTTTTGACTTATTGTCTGAACAGTCTGCCCTGTTAGATCGGAGAGTTGCGTTGTACTATAAGAAATACAAAATAATATAACATGTTCAAAATTAACAAGGAGAGTCAGATGTAACTATGAATACATTCAGACTTTCATGTAGCAATATATCGTGAGGGTCGAGGACACAGTATGCGTTACATGACGACACCATACTGCACTACGTTCGGAATTTCACATTGATAATATAATTCATTCAGTTACTTCATAAATTGTAAATCACGGTACATATGTAAACACGATCGATTGTGTTACAGCTACGACGGCGCAGAGCGACAATTTAAATATACATAACAACAGTTTACATTTGTAGAAAACTGGTAAAAATATTAACAGTCACATTATTTACAAGATCAGTTCTGTACTTTTGGCATAGCGTGCGACGAGCGACGCAGTTGTCTGCGCCGGCGCAAGGTGCGACACGACTACGGTTTGTTTCATTGGTCGGCGCCCAAGTTACTCGGGGACGGCTCAACACACAACATCGTACAAACTAAAACATTTTCTCTACTGCAGCGAAACTGTCACTGGCAATAGTAGTTAGCGCCAGTTTTGGTTTGCAACGACGCGCCATATATTTTTCTACGTCATCGCTATGTTTCCTACACCTACGTGATGTCGGAAATATAAACAGCAAGCATAATTATTATGTAGATCTCTTATTGACGCAGATCACGACCATGGCAATTTTGCAGTTACCTACATGATAACATTATGATTTTATGGAAGGATATTAAAACGTTTCTATTCTATATCCGACAACATCAAGTAACGCGACAACAACGAGTGTTCAGGAGCGGAAGAAGCGCACGGCGCGCACCACGTACTGGCGACAGATGGGGCACTCGGCCAGCTGCTTGGCGCAGGCCGTGCAGGCCGCGATGTGGCCGCACTCCAGCAGCACGCACTCCAGCGGCGCCGCCATGCAGATCTTGCAGCACTCCTCCGCCGGCAGGTTGTCCACGTCTGCAACAAGCGCGCCGTCAGCTCCCGCCGCCAGCAAGCCCGGCCGCCCTCGCCGGCGATACTCACCGTCGCAGTACTGTGCGTGGTTCCTCCACAGCGTCTTGGCGCGCTCCAGCAGGTCCTTCCTCTCGAGGCAGCCCCTGTACTCCACGCGGTTCCGCACCAGCAGCTCCTTCAGCTGCTTCACGTTCAGCACGTCCAGGTCCGACGGCCGCTTGAATTGTTCTAAACTAATGTGTTTAGGTGTACCTGCCCAAAACCATACTATGACCTATATTCATACGTACATAAAGTAGTATTACATAGCATATCAAAGTTCTCCAATGATACTTTGGAGTATAAATGTGTTGCAAAGTGTTTACATGTCGAAGAAGGAGACGTGGTGGCACGTACCGTGGTCGCTGTGCTCCTCCCGGTCGAGGAGCGGCGCGTCGTGCAGACTGACGGAGTCGTGCGAGCGCGCCGCCGGCGACCGCAGCTCCAGCTCCGACGCGGCGCGCTCCACCACTCGCTCCTCCCGCTCCTCTCGCTCCTCTCGCTCCGTACTTCGCTCCGCCGCCCGGCCGGCTGGCCGCTCCGTACCCCGTTCCGTCCTGCGCTCGGTAGCATGCTCGGGCGGCCGGTCCGCTTCCCGCTCTCCCGCACTAGCGCGACGCTGGAAGCTGGCCGACGTACTCAGCAACACTTCCGAGTCTGGCTCAACATCATTATGATTATTTTTTAGACAACCTTTTTTGTATATTGTCACTTTAATGAAAGAGTTTAATGATCTGATCAAGATAATGGGAAAAAGATTTACAACAACTACCGTTTGGCAAGGGATCAGCAGGTCGGTTGACAAACTCCCAGCCAGTGTCATCCAGGTCTTCGATTTCAAAACAGTCGGCAGTGTCAACGCGCGCGCTCTCCGCGGACACGCTGCGGGACACTGACGACTCCGGGACAGGTACACAAATGTCGGGCTCTCCACCTGCAAAGGATACTACATTGTTTAAACAAGTATACTTTACTTACAACATAACTAATTCCAATGAGGTACAGTCGATTGATAGAATAACAATAGGGAATAATTTAAATAGTGATATGTTAAAAAGCTAAATGTAAATGTTTTATAGATCTTGATCATGATATAGATCACTTTCAAGTACCTGGTGTAGTTGTAAATCGTTCTCCTTGTGGCCTCTGACGGTTAGAAGGAACTTCACCACTTATGTTATTGTGGACATGAGCAGAGTTGAAGCAATTACCTGCAATCATACACATGTTTTGGATGTAATATTTACAAAATAAATAATTCCTTACTTAAATAAATCTGTTCACAAATTAACTCGTCGAGTACCGTCATTATAGACACAATTATAGAACAATAGGTTGTGGTCACCGGTGACCGCTTGGTGTTTGACAGTTTAATATGACTTAAATTACAAAGTGCACCAAAATTCAAATATTATAATCGAAAATCGAATGATAAACAACCTAACCTGAGGAAAAATTGTATTTTAGATTAAATTAAGTTCCGTTTGTTTTTCTCATCATCATCTTTTTGTCCTCAGATAAGCAAAAATGTATCAGATCAGATGCAACCTATGTCATTTGCAATAAATAAAAGAAAACATTATGTCACCTCAAACAGAGTAGTCAGAGTTGGTTATTGCACAAAATATCACATTCATAAGTTGGAAAGCAATATCCTACCACTTAGAGTGAGCAATCAAAACCTAATTTATGAAACAGTAGATAACATTTATATGATTACTCATTATATCTTTCTAGATAGTACCTATTTTATTCTAGAATTACTTGCATGAGTCAGCTGAATCATATTTGTATATTAGTGACACATATAATGTGGTGACACTAACACATTGTGCCATGCAATGGATGATCCCTCACCTAACTCTGGTAAAAGTTATACAGGTGGGCTTCATTTCAGATAGAACATGTATATTGTATAAAATCTTTAAAGAAATGTATGCTTCTATCATATCAACATAGATTGTTTGTAATCTTTTGACAAAGTTCTAGAATATCTTTATTTTGCAGACAGACAATGTAATTAATTTATTAATGCAAGATAAGATATTTAACTAACTGGCACATCCTCTAGCGGCGGGCTGTGGTGGCTGTGGGTTGTTGCGCATGTCAAAAGCAGAGTTGATGAAGTCATTGATGTTGCTTGTGAATCCTTTCAGTGAGCTGAAGGGGCTGGAACCAGTGCGCGAGCCCCGGCGTCTGTATGCAGTGCTGTTTACGTGTGACACACACAAGTTCAGCAACTCCTCCTTTTCTGCATATTGACATGTTATTAGCATACAGGTTGTCATAGATCAAACAATATTGTGGTAGTTTAAAATATATTGCCTGGCACTCAATGACACAGGATCGATGAACTTCCAACACTATGGTGAGTTTAGGAGGCCTAATATTTGTGATGGTTTGTGTAGGACTAGACCTATGAGTCGGGCAAGGTGTAGATAAAACCATAAAATAAATCAATTTTGACTTTTCTTTTTCAAAATAGTTTAATATTACCATAACTATGTATATCAGTCATAATCACACTTAGGGAATGGATGGAGCACTCAAAGTCCATGTAACTCTGCTTACATAGGGTTAAAGACACTGTCCACTATGCACACAGTGAGTATTCTTAGGAATAACCAATAATGTACCAACTACTTTGGATAAAAGAAAAGTTATATATAACTACAAGTTCTTATTAGATTTGTTTTTATTAATTTACTGCAGTGTCTGTAGTCTGTACCTAGTGTGTGTTACAGAGTTCCAGGCAAGACATACCAACGCAGCCCCTGGTGGAGACATTCTGTCGCTGTAAGAAGCACTGTACGTCGCGCACTTTCAAATGGGATATAGCCTGTTTGGTGAGCGGACGGGTGGACAGCACCCGGCAGGGAGCGCACATGGCGCCGCCGCCTCGCCGCAAGCAGCTGCTGCAGTAGAACCTCTCGCATTCGCTGCATGCTCGCTTACGCTTGAACATGCTGAACTGTACGGCGCAGCTTTCGCAAGGCATTTTACAGCACCCGCGTCCCTCCACTACCATCTATCATATTCTGCGCCACACACACCACTGCTGCAACTGCGTCACATACACATCACACAGTCACACGGTCACTGTTGCATTTACTATTTTTTTTGTTATAAATATTAATAAACATTTGATATTTTTATAACGTACTATTTATGTAAAAAATCAAAACATATGAATGACACACCTGCCATCATGAAAACAACGTTCCGATATACGCAGACGGGGATTTTGATCGGACTTCACTTGAGTAATATTTCCATCATACTCCGTTTATTATCAATAAAATAATTACCGTAAACTGTTGTTATACTAAATATACATGAGTATAATAGTTGTAACATTTATGTCAAAAGTCTAAAGGTTGCTTTAGGAATATATTTATTTTTATGGAATACGTTTTAAATATTTATAATGCGTGTAAAGAATCATTGACATTTTCTTTTTTACGTTATTTCATGACGCAGCTGCAGCAGTCGGCTCAAATATGAAAGAAGAGCCTGAGAAACGTACCTACTTAATAAGTAACTAGCTGTTGCCCGCGACTTCGTCCGCGTAGAATAATGACTTCTGGCAGAATTTAGGCTTTTGAATTAGTTTTTATCAAGGGATATTCTACGGTAATGGATGTCGATAGAATTGATTCAGTCCCGTAGATGATAGCGTGATAATATGTAGCCTATATGTTTACCAGACTTGTTAGTAATATTCATGCAAAATTTGAAATAGTAGTGCAGTACTTTTTGAGATCATCACGGCCATACATACAGACAAACAGAGAAAAATTCTAAAAACCACATTATTGGCTTCGGTATCGATTAGAGATCACGCTTCAAATATTCTTTTAAAAAATATTCAATGTACAGTTTTGACTTTTCTACGATTTATTATATGTGTAGATAGCTGTTGCCCGCGACTTCGTCCGCGTAGATTAATGACTTCTGACAGAATTAACCAGAATCAATTCAGTGCCCAAGTAAGATTTACCTATTTTGAAATGATTTATCGTAGTTTCAATAAATAAATAATCCCGCAGGGATCTTACCAGTACAGTGCCCGATCACGTAAGGTTTGAGTAATAAAAACTATTCTATCGACTATTGTTGTACCGAATCTCTCTAGAATAAGTTCAGTGGTTAAGAGTTAGAGAGTCCTGGGGCATTGACGCATAGTTCCCGTTCTCGTGAGACATCTGTGAAAAAACTATCATACGTTACCCAGGTCCCAAATCATCGTTTTACCGAATGTAATTCAAAAAGATTCAATGATTCTAAATTCAACGGCTAAGAAGATTTATACAAACTCTCATTCCCTATTTTATCCCCTTAGGGGTGGAATTTATCAAAATCCTTTCTAAAGAGATACCTATGTCATAGTAACTTTATGCATGCAAAGTCTCAGCCCGATCAATTTAAAACTGGCAAAGTATCATACTTTGGGGTGAGAATGTTCAAAAACCTTTCTAAAGGGACGTTTACGTCATAATATCCATCTGCACGCCGAATTTCAACCCGATCGGTGTAAAACTGACAAAGCCTCACACAAACGTTCATCCCCTATTTTACCCCCTTGGTGGAAATTATCAAAATCCTTTCAAAGCGGATGCTTACGTCATAACATCTATCTGCATGCCAAATTACAACCCGATCGGTTTAAAACTGACAAAGTCTCATACAAACTTTCATCCCCTTTTTTACCCCCTTGGGGGTGGAAATTATCAAAATCCTTTCTTAGCGAATGCCTACGTCATAACATCTATCTGTATGCCAAATTTTAGCCCAATCTGTCCAGCGGTTTGGGCTGTGCGTTGATAGATCACTATGTCAGTCAGTCAATCAGTCAGTCAGTCAATCACCTTTGAATTTTATATATATAGATGCACGATACACACCTCCGTTTTAACTGCGCAGTCGAATTGTATAATTAAATCGTAGGTCCATATAGCCTACCTACTCCAACGCATCGAACGATTTACCCATGCAGTTTAACTTTACAATATTAGCAGTAGCGTGCATATGAAACCATATTAGAAATTGTTGTTGTTATCATAATAAAGGTATATGATAAGACTGGATTTTCTGCTTATCTAATAATTGTAACATTTTTATATCAAATAGGTACCTTTAATTCAAGTAGTAGGTTGTCTTTGCTAACACTATACCTCTAGAAAGAATAAAACACAATGTAAAAATCATTAAAAAACCAGTAGCCAAGTAGATAATGAACAGGAGATTATGTTGTAGCTGTCACATAGCTGTTTGTTACAACACATAACATCACGCCTTTTGTCCCCGAAAGGGTAGGCAGAGGTGCACATTATGCCACTGTACAATGTAACACCCACTTTTCATTATTTATGTTTTATGAGTCCCATGTAATAGGGGTGAGCCTATTGAAATTGTGCCTGGTATATGACCAGGCACAATTCCAGACTCCGTGCTACTACTGAGAATTTTTTTAAAAACCCGGGAATCGAACCTGAGCCCCCTTGCCCGGCAGTCGCACTTGCGATCACTCAGCTAACGAGGCGGTCTGTTTGTTACACCTTCTATAATATAAAAATCTTCGCCACAGAATAATTTAATTATACTGTGACTCTGTCAACTTCACTGGAGACCGGAGAACAGTGGACAATATCGGTAGTATTTACCATAGTCTGTATAGCGTTCGTTTATTATTAACACCGGAAATGCTAATCTAATGCTAATTAAAGTTTTGCTTGAGGAAAATATGACTACAAATACCTATTTAAAAATTGTAGGTTAATATTCTATATCAGTGGCAATCAAATTTACAGGCGTCATGGCATGCGGTCGCCATTGGCTAAGTACCTACATTACACTAGCAACACAATGCCTCACGGGTGCATTGCCGAGATGTATGCAACTGTTTAATTATGACATTATTTTACTTTAGACTTAAACACATTTGACTCCAAGCTCGTGTACTATGTAAAATAATTTATAACTGGCAAATATGAATGTTTTGCAATAAGCTATGACTTTATTTCAAATCCAAGTTATTTGAAGTTATGATCTAAACATAATTTCAAATTGTTTTTTGTCACATTTAGACCTAAGGTATTTTTGGTATAGACATTAACATGAATATGTCCACAAAGAGAGACGAGGACACCTAACGTGCATAAGGTTCGCCATTCGAAGCTAAAACGTGTGAAATATGAAACAAACACGAGTGCACTGAGCTTGGCTTTGCTATTGAACCTATTTTTGCGAGTAGCTAGACGAAATTCTGCTGGGTCGTTTGTTCGAAATATTAAATGTTTTGTTTATTTCGAGTCTTGTTTATTCTAATAAATATTAATGTAATAAATATTATCTAGAGCTTGTGTCTTAAGTTACCTAGTGTGTGTCAATGGTCACCAAATTTATTCAAATTTACAAGAAGACGAGCACGTTAGGGAAGTAGGCACTCTAATAGCTAATCTGTCGAGATTGTGTTGATTGGGACCGAATAATAAGTAGCCTAGTAGTATGAAAATGTATAGAGTTCCTAATCAAGAGTTGTCAAAGTAAAAGTAGGAACAACTATGTATGTACCTAATTTCACGAGAAATTATAAGAAACAGCAGTTTGGTAACCCTGCAAGCCTACAAGTCAGTAGAGTGCACTCTTTCAGTAGCGTGAAACAAATGCATCGGCAAGTACGCTCGGTGAGTCGGCAGTCAGCACTACTTGACTATACACAGCAAGACTGAAATATTAACATTTATTATATCTACTGCACTGTACTGTACGCCGCGCATATTATAAAATGATGATAGCGCATGCGCCTGTATTGTTAACGAACGCAATTTATCGTAACTTTGCACATTTTGCCGCAAAACTGTCGAATTTTTACGTGCACAAATAATGTAGACACTTTTAAAGAAATCATATATTTAAAATACTTTAATAATATAAAGAAGGCTATGTAAAATATTTTATTGTATAGTAAGTATTAATAAAATGTCGTAGAATGCTTGCTCTTAATGGCTAATAAAAGTAAGACAAATCGTTTTTGTCTACCCACGCTTGTTACAGCAAAAAAATCCGAGCTCTTTAATTACCGAAGTACTTATTTGTATTGAGACAAAGTATCAAAGTACAAAAGGAACTGGCTTCCAATAGAAAACAAAAGCAAGAAATTAGGGGAGGAATCCTGTAACAAGAATCCCTCTGCTCGATAAATTAACACTGTCTCACAAATTGATGTAAAATCAATAAGGGGTGCGAAAAATTCGCAAGTTTTTACATCGGAAGCAATAATTTTTCACAAGTTTCAGTTAAACCTCTCAAGGAAAAAGAGGAAGCCGTTCATTGAACTAAAATAGAATGTCGTCATTTTTTCCTTTATAACTTCACAACAATTTACATAGAGCAACATTTAATTACCTCAGCGGACTTAGTACCTGACAGTAGATCTCTACTAGAGTAGTTGCTCAGTTTCTGATTAACTAAATGAGGGCTGACTTCTCACTACATGGTGGTTTGTGACGTCAATTAACTTATTTGGTACAACATACTATAACATCTGTACAGGATGAGTAAGTTTTGTTTTGTTTTTGTTTTTTTTTAAATTACGCGTCCTCATGATTTTAGTTTATTTGCTTTTAGTACTCACTGGTATCAAACATCAAACTTTAATTGAATGAAAACGTTTTGGAAATGTACTATTAAGCCATTGTTGATTACAATAACAATTTTATTAAAGTTAGGAAATATTTTGTACAAATAGGTAAGGTTAACAAAAAATGGCTTTCATTTCTATAAGACGACCTAGATTGTCATTAAATGTGAGTCAGTGATGCGCGTGCGGTTTTTAACTTATACATTCATTCACCTACTTTATTAAACAGTACATAAACGCTCATACTATCTATAACTATAGGTACATAGATTCTAATTTACAATTTCGCGACTTTTATCACAGCTGAGGTGTCCGAGTGGTTAAGGAGTTGGACTTGAAATCCAATGGGTTCTACCCGCGCAGGTTCGAATCCTGTCCTCAGCGATTCTTTTTGTTCGTTCTTTTTATGTTTTACTTTTATATTTGGTGTTAATTTAATAAAATGGATAAAGATAAATTGATTAAAATATGTAATAAGATTTTTATTAATGTTATTTCTGTAGAGGTAAAAAATAGTCTTTGGCTTTGAGCTTTTTGATAATAATAATTGTATGTAGAGTTAA